TAGGCATTCATCAAACAACAAGGTACTTTGGATGAAAAGAATCCACCAAATGGTGTTTTTTTGGTGTCACAATGAGAAACAGTTGGTCTGTCATAAATAGACTGGCTGCACTTTGGTGGAGGAGAATCCAGATAATTATTATTCTCCATAAAAAATAAGTGCTGGTTTTTGTTAGAAGACGCATAAACACTTGTGTTTATTCAGGGCCGTAGAGGACTTTGAGGTCACGTCTTCTGTAATGTTATTGTGAATGTTTTCGGGGGGGTGGTAACCTTGAGTGAGCAATTAAAAACTTTTATTGGTTTTATTTCAGTATTTTTCAAAATCTGGTATTTTTTTAGTAGTTAATCAGAATTTTCTGTTTTTGTAGCAGGCTTTGAAACAACATTTAGACCTTTATGTTAGGAAATCAAATGTCTTAAATTTAATAATGTGATATGTACTGGTCTGAAAACAGAGACACAGTTCTGAGACCTCAGTATTTCTCTCTTTTTTGGCCTTTTATTGCCTTTAGTTTTTGATACTGACAGCTGAAGAGCGACAGGAAGGCAGGGAGAGGGAGAGAGTGTGACACACAGGACTTTCTAAGGAGTATTTCTAAGCTCCTGTCTGTCCATGTCAAAATAAAGCCATTTGGAGGTGCAGAAGGTGGCATCCTGATGTAACAGTAGTCAATTTCCTATTCAAATTTAGTATAAATCATAATGCATGTTTCTGTCCTCAAGTCTAACTAATATTATTAATCAGAATATTACTAAGTCTTTCCATTGCACATTGTTGTATTTTGCTTCTATTCAGCCTATTGTAAATATATCAGCAATATTTATTTTCAAATTTCAACCCTTTGTTGGTTTTATGTGTATATACGGGTGTATAATAACAGGTGGATGGAAATGCACTTACTGTTTGCTGTCATCCTCAACAACATTGCAAACTTCATAAACATTTTTGTCTCCAACTGTTCATCCATTCACAAAGCTGTCGTCTTAATAGATGAACAAAAATGTCACATACTGTAGTTGTGCCACAGTCTGGTCAGTTTCTTCTTTTGGATTTGAATCAGGAATAGTAATGAGTCTTGTACAGCAGAGAGCTGCAGCTGACTCACAGGACTCTTGGCTCTCTTTAGTTACACATCAAAAGATTCTTTAAAGGCAATGAGGGACATAAAAAAACAGACAGGGACATAAGTCCAGGAAATGTCTCTTATCGCCATCTGTCTGGCATCTCTACTTCAGTCTTCCAGTAATCCATGTATGAACAGGCTGTTCCCTATAAAAAACTGAAACAATGTTTGACAATCCTGATCCAAGAAACGTCTCATCTCACTGATTTTAACATATAATTTGTCAGATCACATCTTGTTTTGTCTTCAGGCAATGATGTATACAACATTTACATTATAGTCCAGCAGAAAATAGATATTATACTTTTAAATCGCCAGCCAAGAACATTAATATTGGATGAATCTGAAAAATCGAAGAATATGTTTAATGAGAATGCCTGTCAGACGTAACTCCCTATATATCCTGCACTACATTAACCTCTGCCAGCTGAATGTGTAATTCATGCACAGTATAGGGCCCTCTGAAATTCCAACAACGGAAAACATAAGTAGTGTCCATGGTTTTTACACTATTTTCTGATAACAATCCCACAATGCAACACTTATTAATTTATAGATCAACATTGTACGACTCTACAGCTGTCACTAATAAAATGATGATTGATAAGTGTCTGAAATCTCAATTTACTGCCAACTATAGAGTAAACTAAATTAAATGGACTTAAATTAATCAGGCGTAACCAGAAACATCACTCAAATGAGTGGATGTTGTTTTGCATCTGCTGGATTTTCATTGTCATCAACTTTTTTAAGGTGATATAACACCAATTTTTTGCTTACAACTTGTGCAGAGTGGCAAGAACGAATGATTAAATAAATTGATGTTTATTGAATGTACGATTAGTACTTCATGTGTTCAGATGTTTCTCTTGCAACCTTGTCTTTAGCACTACTGTTGTATTTCCTTGCTCTTCCTGCAGTGAAATACTGCCAATTCTTGTCTGTCTGTATGTTCACATCAATAATTTCCCCAGGTAATTTAGAAATATGGTGGATGAAAGAAATTTAAATTCTGCTGCTCAGAGAGAGAGTGTACTGTAATGAGCAATAACTTACTTAATGGGAATCGCATTACATTTCTTGTTTTATTGTGATGCTGATTTAACCAGCATGCAATAAAAACCAAAATGAAAACTCAGACAGACAATATCTAGATATTCTCTGCAGCTACTTGCATTGTTGATCAGAATCAAACTAGCTTTCTTATATTGTTCAAAACTGTTTCTGTAGCCGCTTTAATGTAATTTCCAAACACACAACTGGAAGTGGTTGCTTGTGTAGGAGAGTCTGCATAGGGAAGAAATACACAAACGCATGCACACACAAACATGTATACAGGGAGTTTAACTCGATGCTTTGCCAATATTGTTTCAACTCAGATGCTAATAGAGCAAACTGAGGTGAAAATTTAATTGAAATTGAAAGGGAGAGGGAGGGAGAGACAAAGAGAAGAGATGAGTAATGACAGAAGAAGAAAAAACAGGACGGAGAGACTGTTTTCATACAGTATCTGTCGTGTGTGTGTGTGTGTGTGTGTGTGTGTGTGTGTGTGTTGCCTGCGGAACAGTTGATGGATTTGCTGCTTGACTGCTCACACAGATTGGTGCCTGCTGTGATGGCAGCCTTGAACTGAAATTACGTGCACACTCATACACACACACACACAAGAGAACTACACATAATTGCAATTTCTGTGTGTGCAAGTGCATTTGTGTGTATTCTTAAGTTGGGACGAGCGGGTGTGTGTTGCCTCTAGGAGGCCATTTCAAAGCACTGTGGAAGGATGGATGAACACAAGGCCAACCAAAGCACCAGAGAGGATTAGACAATTGAACAGGTTCAAAACGCTGTGTTTATGTGCTTATTAATGGCAGTTTATTATATTCTGTGTCAGATGCTTTATTTTTATTGAATCAGTGACAGGGCGGCTGGCTTCCCCAATTATTATCCTTTTTTAAAATTGGTGAAATGAGACAAAAACAGAGCAGATAAGCAGAGATACATTTCTGCAGCTCAGAGAGATTTCTGTTTTACTAAAGAGTTTGATGATATGTAATGCTAATTGAGGCAGTTGCAGTGGATTATTAATTATCTTGATCTTGATTATACTTTTTAAAATATGAAGAGAACAACCAAGGATGTCTAGCATCCCCAAAAGAGAAGAACTCAGCTTCTCTAAACTAAAGGGGAAATAAACTTACACCAAAAACCACACAACAGGTATCAGTCAGTCCAAATAAAGTTATGAGCAAAATTCACCTAAGTTTGGAGAAAAACCATTAGCCTACACAAAAGATAGAAAATATATTATCGTACAGCTTACAGAAGCACTACAGAGACTGTACTGTATTAGCAAGACTTGCCATCAAACATACATCGTAACCAAATCAATAGTACTTACCAGAACTGCACTGACCATTTATATAAATGGTAAACCAAGGCCACAGGGCAAGTAAGGGCAAGAGAGAAAGCCATGTCCTAGCAGGTGCCTTAAATAACCCTGACAATGACTGAGACGAACTGGCAGGATGAGTCAGTAAAGATGACAAGGCTTTATTTAATAGCGATGAAGAAAAAGTGTTCCATACCAGGCATGCAAGTCTCATTTGAAAGATGTCTGTTTCGAGGATGGCAGTCAAAAAGTTCAGGAAATGATAATTAGAATACTTGACATTTGTTTTAAGGGTAATTGTATGAATGGTAATCTTTTATTGTTCGTGGGGAATGATACACATAACATGGTAATGTATCTGATTTGCTAAAACTCAGTGAAGAAAGTAGAGTGGACAGATTTACCATTTTTCCATTATTACAGATGAAATAATGGACTAATGGAGTTATTTTGGGAATTTTTAGAAGCAATGAAAACAGATAATTGAGTTGAGATAAGATTTTAGATGAATAAAATGTATCTTTGCTTTTAATATATGATTGTTGTGTGTTGCATATATTTTAGTGTGTTGTCACACTCTATGATGAAACAACTCAGTGTTGGTCTTAGATTTTCTAAAACAGACATATGGTGTATTTAACTATGTTAATGGTGTGTTCTGAGAGAGTATGAGATTGATGGCCTCCTGTGGTGAATTTGAATCTTGAAGATGAAGTAAAACATCATCTGCATAAAGTTGAATCTTTTTTTCTGAATTTGCAGAGTGAATTCCTTTTTTCATTCAGCCAGTCAGCTACCATGTGGTTTATTTAAATCAGGAGTCTCAAACTCAAAATGTCTTGGGGCCACTGATGGTATCATAATCTCAAAGGAGGGCAACTTTGACATTGAAGCACTACAAGAAAGCGCAAGATTCTGAAAATATTACCATTACTTACATCATACTTCGCAAAAAATGCAGCAGTTTCTAATGATAATAGAGTGCTTTCCATCATACTCAGGCTCTTCACGTAAGTTACATAAGTTAAAATGGTAATAGAAACAACACACTAAAAGATACACAGCAATTATGTTGTGCATTTATTTTAATTGTATATGAAAGGGAAGTGTAAATTGATATGAAACAATCTGAAAAAAAAATTAGTCTTGCATTATACTATTATTTTTGATACATATTTTTGACATCATGTCGTGGGCTGGAGCGAGGGGTATGGAATGCAGTTTGAGATCCCTGAATTAAAATATATAATAGAAAGAGAACGAGTGTGAATGCCGGTGTGGATCCCTATTAGAAACCTTGTGATGTAACCCTGTTAGTAGTGACAGTGGCCATTGATGTGCTTTCTCATCTTCCAGTGAAATGTTAATTGTCATTGCTTTGTTGACATGTTGATTTAAACTATGACTTGTATAACATCCAAAAATATAACAGAAACTGAAATATGTTATTTTATTTGATTTGTTTGTTTGTGTCTTCTGCAGTGGAGCGTCAGGGAGCAGCAGTGAATCAGAGAGCAGCTCAGAGTCGGATACAGACGAATCAGAGAGCAGCTCCAGTGACAGCGAGTATAACCAGGCATCCCGCACAAACACTCCAGAGGTAAGATGACAAGTGTGTTTCCATGTGTGAATGTGTGTGTTTATGTGAATTCTGTATTAACTCCACACTGTGCACACACAGTGAATGTCATGAGCTCATAGATTAAATTGTATCCAATGGGTAACATAAACAGAACTGAACTCTTTTTATTTTCATGTGAAGTTTTGGGGCAAATTAAAATTTTTGTGGAAGAAACTTAATTTATGGATTATTCCCTTTGTGCAATAAACAGTAAGTACAGTTGCCAGATGCACATTTCTAACTCCAGTTTAAAGACAACCAATCATTACTGGAGTCATGCAAGGGTTTGTTTTTGCCAGCTGATTTAGCTGGTTCACTTTTTTTTCATGAAAGGCAGAGGTAACATTATCTTTTGTTACAGAAATCCTTATTCATAGTCATTAAGCAGTCATTCAACAGTTGGCAGTAAAAGATACTGACAATGTCATGTGTGTCTCCAGTTTTGTTTACATTTCACAAAGAGACAGATGCACTTTCATTGCCTTTTTTAATTCTCCCTGATTCATCACTATTCTCTTCACAGTGTCTCTGACTGCCTGTACATTAAATGGTCTCTTCCCACGGTCTCTCGATGGTGCTATGAAAGTCATAAAACTCCAACTGCAGAAAGCTGAATTATAACATTATTTATCACATTATTTTAATGGCTCAACGCTGCCTGGTTTCATAAGCTTATGCAGTCCTACCCACTGAGAGAAAGAAAGAGACTTGCAGAGGAAGAGAAAGAAAATTGTTTAATAGCATGCAACACATAGGCAGCTATATGACGGAAATCGAATAAATAAAGCTACTTTCAGATCTCAGTGAGAGAAGTTGTATTTTCTGACTGTAAAAAATAAGCCCTTTAATGATTTATGATTTCCAGAAAAAATCAATTTCAATGCATCAAAGAAAATCTGTAACTTTCTGAGACCAAATTATATTTTACTATGACAGTGAAACTATAGATACAACCATCCTAATAACATTGAGGTGTTGCAGAGTGTTTGTGAAATATTAAATAATGTATAACTTGTTTTCCCCCTATAGCCTGAACCCCCCTCCACCAACAAGTGGCAGCTGGACAGCTGGTTGAATAAGGTCCAAGCTCAAACCAAACCCCTGGTTCCCCCACAGCAAGAACATCATGGCAAAGGTTAGTATGGACAGTTGCATGTACTGTGATTACAGTAAAAAGATTGTTTTAATCTGCAATACTTATTTCCGTCCAATGGTCTTCTGCCCAGGCTCCATCACCCAGGGTCCTGAGACTTTCTCTCCAGGGAGTGAAGCACCAGGAGTGGGTACGGCTGCCAAGACCAAAGCCTGCGGATCCAACAGCACCCCTGCTCCAGCTGCACCAACTGTGGAACATAAGGATACAAGGGGAGCCTCATGGTAGGCGCAAGTGTTTTTGTCTGCAAATCTGCCAAAATAACTTGTCAAATTCTATCTGCTGGATAAATTAATGAATGAACGACACAGTGACAGAAGGTTGAACAAATTGTTGGAAACAACAGACCAAAATGTGTCTCTAACCATAAAAGAAAAATCAATTCTTGCTTCCTGCAGCCCGGGCAGAGAGAAGGCCAAGGCAAAGCTCAGCCAGAAGGCCTCGGGGGAGGGCCAGAGGTCAAAGATGAGGCTATCACCGGGCCTGTTGTCTGGGCCAGAGGTCACGACCCCGAGGAGGAACACCACTGGGAAGAAACAGCCCAGGCGGACAGAGAGATCAAACAGCGTGGAGGATAATCAGAACCAGACATGGAGCAGAGCAAACCAGCATAGGTGAGGAAAGGAAGACAAGACAAAGTATGATCTTCTTATTAGTTATTTAAAACATTCAATTATTTTTGTGACTGTTTCCTTGGAGTAATTGTTGATCCACTGCTTTTCCATTACACATAAAAAATAGATTGATTGAAGATCAATCTGTGTGTAGATTGTCCATTTACATTGTCTATTTAAATGATTTATTTTTTAACAGTAAGAAAATTAAGTTGTTATATGTACCAGGTCCAGATGTGCATGGGGAGGTCATTTGGATACAGCCCTAGAAAGCTTTTTTGAGCCATCTGAAGCTTTTTTTTGGACAAATCATGGAGGACTGCTGTACCAGGAAGTGCATATGCATAGTCAAAATGGCATTGAACTCCAGCCCCAGCCCTTTCACAATTTAGTCTTTTAGTGCTTTCAGTACCATGGCCTTTTCTTAGAGCTAATTATCTAAAATGCAGGTTATTTTCTCCGTTTAATTCAATATCCAGAACGAATGGCCTCAGTTTACTTTTATCTTTTACATCATCAAAATCATCAGTTCAGCAATATATATATATATATATATATAATGAAAATAATAATGGCTCCTTCACTGAAACCAATGGCTCTTGATTTATACAGAAACATTCTATGACGTCCAATAAGGAGCTTTGTTCTGCCTGTGTGCATCTGAGTGAACAAGCAGGCCAATCATGTAATGTTGTTGTTCAGTCTTAACTAACTAATGTAAAAGTGCAAATGAATTGTTTCAGGTTCAGTGTCACAAAACAATTCTAACAACATATTTTTTGAGTAAATATTCTAACTTGCATGTCACTTGTTATTGGTAAAACTATTGCAATTACTGTTAACACGTCACTTAGTACTGAGGGTTGACAGAGGCGCCACTGGATCACAGAGCTTCTTGGCAGCTAGCCACTGAACACTGTCACTCCCACATCTGTTGTGAAAAATGCTCAGATTGAGTTAACGCCAAACTGGCTGCTCAGCTTGATGTTGGGCTAATTAAAAAAAAAAACACTCCCTTCCTAGTTTATTTTCTTTATTCTTATCTCCTTCAATCCCTTCTTCCCTTCCCCTTTCCATATTTAAGCTTTCCACATCCAAACAAGTTCAGCTGAATACATGCTGTTTTTAATTATATCATGCTGTCTTATATTTTTTCATTTTAACACACATTCACCCCCTGGAGCTGGCCAACGCAAACATTATCTTCTCCTGTTTGTCAGTGTAAAACTGCTCTGCAGTAGCGATGCCTTGCTCACGGGTGAATCTAGTTCGGATCATGACGCTTCCTCTTTTTCCCCGCTGCAGCCCTGCAGTTAGGGAGAAGGACCTGTTGCCTCCCCCCTCCCTGGAGCATCAGAACCCCCCGAGGCCACGAAGCAAACCCCCTAGTGGGAAAACAGCCCCCAGGAAAGAGCCTCGCAGTGCAACCAACTCAAACAACAACACAGTTACTCCGCCAGCACCGCTACAGCAAACCCCTGTGCCAATACCTGCTGTCAGTGTAAACCAGGTTCGTTTTGGGGGGTGGGATACGTGTGTGTGTGTGTGTGTGTTTGTGGGAGAGAGTTTCTCCATATTTCTTCTGACTGTCTTCTCATTGGTGGCCTCAATGGTTGTCCCTAATAATACTAATGTCTCAAAATTAATCTAGTAATTATTTATGACTGTTCAATGCCATCCAAACTGTGACTGCATTTAGTTTTCCAACAATCCCTTTTTTAATTTAAATTACTTTTTCTATGAAGAAAGGACGTTATACACGACTCGAGTGCACAACACAAGCACCGTGGGACATTTTTCCTTTACTTATCAACATCTTGAACATGTAAAGGCAGTTTAAAACCAGTGCTGCACACAAGTAACAATGTCCATGTATCCTATAATGATCACTTCATCCTTATAGTTTCTGGATGATTTGTCAAAGTCATAAAATTCCACAGGATAAAAACGGTATTATTACATGACTATTAAGGCTCAACACTGAATGGTTTTATCGAAATATGGAAAGTAAGAGAGGGAGTCAAAGAGATGGAACTGAATCATCGACCATCGTCTTAACCTATAATGAGTTAACACCCTGTGGTTTTATGAAGATTAGGTAGTTTCAAGGAGAAAGAAAAAGAAAGAAAGCTAGAAAGAAAGAAAACCACTTACAGTAAGCTGGCTTTATGTAACTAAGACAAAAGGACAGGAATGAAGATTATATAACGAGATTATAAAGTGTTCATTAGCAAAAACAAATATCTCTTTTTTTAATTTATTTATTATTATGTTTTGTTTTTTTTTACTCCAGGGAATATCAGTCAAACAGTTTTTGGTTTGTTGTGATAAGATATCTTAAAAAGTTTTAATTTTCATAAATCATTCTTTTTTATTGTACACTCAAGAGAATATCAGTCAAACAAGAATTGCTTTTATGGCTTTTTGCAAATGAATTATTCAGTTATACCATGCTTACAGAAAATGAAAATATCCCTCATCTTTACATTTATTGAAAAGGGGAAGTGCAGCTTTTCTGAGTAAATACATTTAATAATACCAAATTAAAGTAAAAAAATCAACAAAGCATCATATTGTTAAAAATGGGTCTCTCTACTGTGAAAACACAGCAGGCCCTTTGTATGATGATAAAATTATTTTATCATCATATAAAATCTTGTTGACCCTCTGTAACCTGACAGAAAAGTCTGAAATCCACTGAGGTAAGGTTGACATATAGAGACATGAATATACACACTCGTCTTTGGAAGAACAAAAGAAGTTCAGTTCACACGACACACATTTATTTTAGGGTGTGCCGTGTTTTGATGTTCGTTGATCTTTATGACACCGGTGCCTTGTGTCATTATGCTCATTTCCTTTGAAAAACAAATTTCCTCTTTGTTTTTATGCTGTCATTCTGAAGAAAATATGCTTGAAAGACTTAAAAGACAAATTGATACTGAAACAAATAAAACTGCATTTCGACATCGAAACACTTGCAAACCTCAGCTCCTCTGTCACAGTCCATGACGAGGCTCACATGCCTGACACTGACATCTGCCACCTCTTCAACTGCAGGTTCAATCAACCATTAAGAGCTCCAAACGGTGCTTCATTATTTCTTTAATGCCTGCTTCTGAACTTTGTAAAATGAGACAAAAAAATAATCCAACTACCAGGCTTTACCTTTGCTTCTGTATATAACTTTAAAGGTGCATTATTCAAGGTTAGGAGACAAAAAATATAGAGTCAACTATGATAAAAGGAAACTACTGAATTCTCAAGGGCTGTTATTTTAGATCATGGTTGATTCTACATAACTTACATAAAGAGGGGCATTACATGTCGACAACGACCTGCAGTAAGTGTACACTTGCACCCCTATTTTGCCCCCAAATAACCTAAAACATCTGCAACCTGTGCTGCGGGTGCTGTCACGACACCTGATCCTCTGCCAGCCTTTACTGCACATAAGGGCTGGAGGAACGACTAATGTTCGTGTCAACGGTGAGAACTTTCCAGAAAACACTGTTGGAGACTTCTGCTCAAGAAAGGAAAATGTTTGCCTGCAGTGTGAATAAGCATTATACAGGGGACAGTTTTTTCTTTTTCAATAAAAGACAACATGGTGTTTATTGAAAATGGATTTTGCAGATGGCAGCATGCGTTGGACTGATTCCAAAGTTTTCAGAAAACTGCCGGTTTCTGTCTGCCAAGTGTGTGGGTTATTCTGACTGGGAACATTAGTGGTATTTTCTTCGCAGCATCTACCTCTGTAGTTGCTTTCTCATGTTGTACACCCAGCGCTGCTAATCACTTCCTTTTGTTTCAAACAACAATCAATGATCGTTTTACATCTAAAATCAAGTATTCAACAGGTGGAACTGCGGAGCTACCAAGAAAATAGCAGATGGCACACATCCTTCACACAAGAAGAATGTCAGGATGATGCAAAAACACAGTTTTTTCACCTGAAGAACAAGGCTGGGCGATCTTTTATATCTTTCCTATCAAAACATCAGTCCCTCCAGGATGTTGCGATCACAACAATTAATGCGAAGTCGACCGAACCCTATGAATTCTGCATGATTGTTCCAGAAATTTGACCAATTGTTGTAGTTTTCCACAACTTTCAACAATTATAGTGCAAAACATTGAGCAATACGTCACCAAACTACTAGCGATTTTTACCGAATTAAACATAAAAAAAGTAAGTATTTTAGCAATTTTCAATTTCTACCACGCACCTAAAAACATCCCAACATGCATCGCAATTTTTTAGAAAAGCTGCCATGATATCAGGCATTTTAGGCAGCAACAAACCTAAAAGAAGCCCAAGAAATCCTGGAGGGACTGTAAAACTAAAACCAAAAATTAACTCATCCTACTAACCTACTAGGAATTATGTGTGTAGCTAAAACCTGATGTATCTTCCTTTGTGCAAAATAGCCAATTCTGCTCCTGCAAATACTCACTAATGCATATTGAATGTTTTAATACGCAGCTGAAAATAGTCAGTGCTCAGCTGGTTTGGGAAATTATTAAACCTTGTTTTACAAAATAAAAAAATATATTAGTGGCAGGTTAAATTTGTACATCTTTAGTGAAAAGCAATGTTTGTATTTGGGGCTGAACTACAGGAAGAGTAGGGAAGTCAGGCATATTTATGATTATTAGTAATATTATTCAGTCAACTCAAAGCTTTCTCCCCTTTGCCTTGCCTCATGTTTGTCTTCAAAACAGGACAAGAGGAAACACAGAGGTCCAAACACCAGAATCACACCCAAGTCCCGAGAATTCATCGAAACAGATTCCTCCTCCTCCTCCTCCGAATGCCAGTCAGATTCAGAGGAAGCCATCAAAATCCCCACTCTGCCACCTCAGACGACACGCTCTGCGATTAACACACAGACTCTGTCCAACACACACATACACACGCCTCTTCTCCCATGCCTCGCCTCCGTTGGCAGCATGGGCAGCCTGGGAACGTTTGGAGGTAAAGGACTGCGTGTCAAAGATGGTAGCAATGTGACCACTAATGGTAGCAGCAGTAGTAACGGTAGCATCAGCAGTGGTAGTAATGGCAGCAGTAGTAGCTGTAACTCCTTAAGCATTAGCAACATAAGTGGTTCGTTTGGCACTTCTGTTCCTGATCCTGGAGGGTTAGGAGGACAGTGCAAAGACCTAGAGTCCATGTCATCGCCTTCCAACATGGGACACGAGGCACCTTTGTCCCCTTTGAGGCCATACCAAGAGATCCAGAGTTTATGGGTGAAAATTGACCTGAGTTTGCTCAGCAGGGTGCCCGGCCAGGGTTTGGGGGAAAGGTCCAGAGTGGGAGTCGCGGAGAGGGACGGGAGTGAAGGGAGAGACAAAGAGAGACAGGGGGAGAGGGAGAGGATAGGGGTGGCGGAGAGAGAAAGACAGAAGCAGGAAGAGAGAGAGTGGCCAGGGCTGAGGGAGAGGCCGAAGTTACCTAAAGGGGAGAAACAGGAGGAGGAAAATGAGCGATTAGTGCAGGACAGAGAGAGGCAAGGTGACAGATTAACAGAGAGGCAGACAGACAGAGAGGACAGAGACAGATTCGGGCTTGGGGAGAGGGAAAGGACGACAGGGAGGGACAGGGAGAAGGTTTGCCAAGGTCTGGGGGTCCTGGATAACCCCCCTGTGCAAGAGCAGAGTAATCCCAGGCTGGCCGGGAGGACGGAGAGAGGAGAGAATGGAGGTAAACACAGGAGACAGACAGCTGGGAACATAGTGGTCCCCACAGAGAAACACACCAGCAAGAGCAAGAGGAAACATAAGGTGTTTCTTTTTACTGCTTTTCTCTGAAATTCTCTTCACATACTTGAGTCCTTAATCATTATCTCCCGTATACGGTACTTATAGTTTTCTGTCTTCTGTGTTCCAGTCGGACCACAGTGAGTCATCAGTCAATGGCAATAAGAAGCTGCGATTGGACAAAGACTGTCAGCTCCTCCCACCCTGCATCTCTCCGATACACAACCACAAGAACAGCTCTACTGAGTGAGTATTATCCACATCTGTAACTCCCCAGAGGACTAAAGAGGACGAAAAGTAGACGATACTGTGATGAAAGTGTGACACAATAATGTATGTAGATCACAATCCGTGAGGAGTTTAAAGGTTATATAAACAAAATTCATTTGCTACTACATGTCACACTAGTGCACCAGCATCTCAGACCAAAGCAAATGAGCGCTACAGTTAACCAGACTCCACTGACAAAACCAGTAATTTTACCTCACAGTTCATTAACAATAAACAAACTGGACACAAACAAAATAAAACTCCCAAAAACCATCTTTTTTGGTCTTTCCAAACAATCACCAACGCTGGTTTGGTTGAAATAATCCCTTGATTCACAGAGTTCGATGTGTCAGTATTTGTGTAATAAACTGCGACAGTGGCAACGTAAACTAACGTTATTCCTGGGAGACAAATGCGCCCGTCAAAGTACGTCCACTAAAAGTGCTTCTTTTTACCACCAGATTGTTCTCCTAAGTTTCTGATAAAATTATGGAAATTTTACCTTGCAAATCTTTAGAACATCGTAACTTCATTCAGAGTGGACAGAAACAAACACAAAGCTTGTCAAAACTTTGTTTGTCTTCCACTATGTATTTACATAGCGAACATCTGTTTGCTGTTATGTTAATGTTTTAAATCTTGTTTGTATAACCTTTAAGTGCCCTAATTTCCAATAAAGAAGACTGCCCGACGTGAGGAAATGTGAGAACTAATGCCTGCGAACTGGAACAGGCTCAACTTTGGCTTTCCCCATTCTTCCCCTCACACTCGTATTTAACGCCACACTCCCTTGTGACTGTGACAGACGCTAGTAGAGTATTTATAGGAGGGCTTAATATTTTTAATGTGGTGATGAAGTCATTGTAGAGGCGAGTTCAATTCACACTGTGACACAGGAATGACAAATTGTGAATTTCAGCTTTCCATGTGAATTATTAAAAACAGACTAAGCTGGCTGTCGCTATAAATAAGCCTCAACGTGACAGCTACAGAGGGAATGTTTTTATAGCATCTCAGCGTCATCAAAGAGTACACAGCCTGGAAAGGTGGGAGGGAACGAGGGAGTGACCTGGACTTGAACCCGTGACATTGTACGGCAGACATCTGCAGAGTCTCTTTATCATCCAAGAGGGTTTTTATGGGAGCTGTAAAGAGGATGATGTGATCATCCTGCTCAGACTCATTCAGCAGTTTCTAACCTGTGACTGTTGTTATTATCGCCCCATTTTTAATCGGTGAGGTCATATTTTGACAACAGATAATTAGAAAAGACGTATATTAATTACTGAGTTTTTACCGCAGGAAAGTTTTGTTTTACCTTTTTCAAACCTTTGTTACCTTTGCCCTTGTTTGTTGAGCACATGACATTTCCATTAATTAACAATATATAGTTATAAAGTCTGACTGTAAACACCAAATTAATTTATTACTCACTTTGTGCAGTGAAAAATAATGCCAATGTGTTTTTGTTATGTATTATTATTAGTTTTTTACTGCTTCATGCAATATTTGATTGACTGTATGGAAACTACGTGGACAGAGAACTAATTATATTCCGACAAATTAATGCTAAACTATCACGAAACCAATAGATGTAAATTTTTCCCTTATGTTTTCAGATTTTTGCTCAAAGCAGATTTGTATGCTGTACCAGACAAAGCAGAGCAGCAAAAACCAACTTGAGATAATAAAATAAAACTCACCAAATCCACCTTTTGTCACGCTTCTCAACAATCACCAACACTTAGATGTGAAAATACATCCAGTGAAAGGGTTTGTTTTTGCCACCGACAGACTCAGATTGTTATTCTAGTGTCTGAAAACATGAAGGAAAAGATCCCTACAGAGATTTTGTTTAACCAGAAAAGGCTTAATATCACTTTCACTCGCCACGTAACATCATAACTTCATTCAAAGTGGACAGAAACAAAATAAAACTCACTAAAACAGTATTTGTTAGTCTTTCCACTGCTCCAACAATCACAAACTCTGCTTTGGTTGAAATAAATCCTGAAATAAATCCTTTCCTCACGATGACTCCACTATGTCTTTACGCAACAAATAGTTGTTTGCTGCTGTAATGTTTTAAATCTCACATATATAACCTTTAAAAAAAACCTCTGAAATCTTCCCACCGGGCCAAGTAACTGTTGAGTCATTGCAAATGTATTCCAACTGAATATTTGGCAGATATACTGTGGTCATTTTGTGCTGAGGGGCTGTAAATATCTTAACTTATTGCCCCTTTAAAATAAGTTTGAGAGCTCTCACATGCTCTCCTGCGCACACACCGGCATCCACACACAAAAATGCACGCACATTAGCATAGTCATCCACACATCAATTATGCTGTGCACAGACATAAAGCACACACGCACACACCGCTGCAGCTAATTAGTCTTTGTCTCCCTGGTTTTGTGTATTATCACTAATGTCGGGGCTCGGGGCGTTGTTCTGCGAGCTCAGCAACTTTTCTCGCTGCATCAAACCCCCAGAGTTTCCAGGCAGAGGAAAAACATAAAAATATTATCTGTTGTGTTGCAAACAGTATGAGTCACAAAAGCTACAATAAGGCAGCTGAGGGAATAAACGTTGACGCTCTGGCAGGAAAGGCAGAATTACAACAATTTTAGAAGGAAAATATTATTCAGCAATTGCAAATGAAGTCGCAACAAGATGGTTGATATTGTTAGCCAAGATTATAGAGGTACGGCTTTACATGCTGGATGTTTGTGACATTAAAATCTGCTTCATTTATTTGAGTTTGGAAATTCAAAGAGAGACTCAGAAAGTAAAAACAAACAGAAATACATAAGTACAGTCACATAAAAGAATAGTTGAAATTATACTTAATAGTCAGCATTCTTCCAAAACCTCTGACATCCATAAAGTGATCTTTAAAGGAATTAAAGTAAAACACCACAGGTCTGTCTGGCAACTAGTACATATATAAGGTACTGGATATTTCTATTTTCTACATGTGCTCATTAGTTCCAGGCTGAAATACATCACAAGACTGGATGTATGTTTTCTGAAGATCCAGTAGTGTAGAAAGTAGCAGACTGATAGCTTTGATAATTTGAAAACCACTTACTGTAAGCTGCTAAGTGCAGTCATTTTCTGACACTGAGAGCAGGTAAAATTGATCGCTGCAGAATCCCCGAAGCATATGTATCGTTATTTGCTGAGAGGCATGCGGTGGCAAAGGACCAAAGTAATAACAATATGAATAATAAAAGTATATTTTTACATTATATTTGCAGGTTTATGATACATTTGCTTGAGCTATATGCGGTACTTTGAGCTTACAGTAGCTTTGTGTGCAGTCCTCTGATTATATTCATAAGTCACAATTTGTCAGTTATCATTTGTTTTATTTCCTCTTATTGTCAAGATGATTCGTGATCCTTCTGTTTTAAGAATATTTGAAAGTTTAAACAAGCCAAACTCTAGCAACAGGCACAAGTAAGTTAAAAAAATAGAATTTATATCCTAAATAAACATTTGGTTAAAAGATAATACTCTAAATAAATCAATAATCTCACTGCTTTTGTGTCTTTGTGTGTTCAGTATCTCTCTAAACAGGAAGCAGTCTCGGCGGCGCGATGACAAGCTGCTTCCACCCCTCCTGTCCCCCCTCTCTGACGATCCCCCTCGTAAACGGACCTGCGACAGTAGTTCCTCTCTCAGCCAGGAGGGCGGCGCCGCTGTGATGCTGCCCTGCTCCACCTCTTCCTCTTCCACTTCCTCCTCCTCACACAGACACAGGAGAGGCGAAGGCAAGGCGTCCTCACATGCGAGAAATGGCAGCGTAAGTGCTCAAGAATACTATTCCAGGTCAACGTTTACAGAAACAAATGTGTTCTTATTCAAATAATAATGTTTTTAAGAGACAGGACTGCTGGTCAGCTTCCACCAATGATGATAACTTGGGTCTGAAAATAATGCACATCCCCCAGGGTGGATTATTGGCTCTGGTGCTTCATCGTCCACACTATGTTTGAGTGATAGTAGGCTAGTGGCATTATCTCCTGAGTGCAAAATTGAGTTGCTCACCTGACACTGTTCCAAATATAACCCCGGAGTTAATGACATGCCATTTTTAAAACTTACAGCGCGACACACATCTCCACTGATGTGAGTCATGTTTCCTTACCTGCCATTTGTCTTCAGTTTCAGGAGCCAAAACATCTAAGAGTGCTTTGTTGTACAGTAGCAGGTAGATAGATAGATTCTTTATTGTCCTTTCAGAGAAATGTGTTGCCACAGTCTGTACATAAATGCATAGGTACATAGATACATAACACAACTGCAAGACATTTATGCACACATCCTATATGTAGTATCTACACATGACGGTTACATAGGTGTTTTGGCTACAGCAAAGGGGATAAACTCCTGCCGTAGTGTGTCTGTTTCCAGTGCAGGGATGTGTATCTGCGACCGGATGGAAGCAGTGTGAGAAGAAGTAAAGCATTAAAAACAGCAGATTCATAAAACAGTACATCCCAGTAAATTAAAGATGCATTTGGCATTTTACAACACAGGCTTGTATAATGAGTTGTAGTTCTCTTTATGCTACTCACAAAAACAAACATTGTACGCAAAAATGATATACAGTTGATGGGTGAATACATAGTAAGTCTTAGAAATAAAAAAAATTACATAGAGTGCTGAGGATGAATTAAGCAGCCTCACAGCCTGAGGGGAGAATCTATCATCTAACATTACTGTCGGCCATCTGGAAACTCCGTAAATCACCTCGGTACCGCTGTCGTCAAACTGGCCTCCGTTTGTGTCTGAGGTTGTGTTCACTGGGAGGCTGCTGAGCCCCGTTCGGTTGCACGCTAACGGCAGCTACATTAGCAGTTCGAGGAGTTGAGGACGTCAGAAGGAAACAATAAACAACAATATTCTGTCCATAAATATGATCCAGTTTCACCAATACCACTGATATGTGTTGTTCTTCGCTCTGTGGCGCCAAAAGTTGAAGATTGATTGACGGGTGAATGTCATGATAATATCGGTTGAAATCAGTTAGTCCATGCTTACGTAAGCATGCGTCACATTTTGTTTTATTGGAAGACAAAATTATTGGATTTCGATTTGAGTTGTTGTACATTTTCGACATACATTGTTAAATAGGAGTACAATATATGGATGCAATCTTAAGGGTTAAAATTACATTTAACTGAGCTCAAAATTGTTAACTGTAACAGGATCCAGTGAAAGTACAGGCCACTGAGAGGAGCCAGACATTTTGCAGGTTAAAAGAGATGCAAAGGCAGCTACCAATCAAATCACAGTGACACTCGCTGTAATTTAATACCATGTAGAATAAACAAGAATGTGAACATCTGACGACATTTTCAGACAGTACTCGTTGTTCAGTGATTGGATGGCCAGTTCCCTCGCATCTCTCTTTCATCCATCAAAGTGGGTGGCTCATTTCAGTAGCAGATGTCAGGCAGCTTCATGCCTTCGCCATAGTAGGGTTTGTAAATTCACAAACAGGCTGTGGCTGCTGTGGGTACTGCATATAAATTTACATTTATACATTTAAAGAAATAGCTTGTGATGGTCTCATTCTCCCAGCAGCTACAGCCGTAACTGTGACAGACTGTTTGTTCAGCTGGCAGAGTGAATCCGTCTCTGTGACTGAGAAGCTGACAATAACATTTAAGTCGCTGGTTGATGAAAGCCACACATTGTAATATTAATTAATTCTATTATAACCACAGATTTAATTCCTTCTCTACTACAGGAAATTGATCCCCACGTCGAGAAGCCCAGCGGAGACGGTTACCATGCCAACGGACAGTCAGACTCGGAAGTGTGGTCGGAACCAGTGATGGAGCCCGCCGAACCTCGCAGGCCGAGACTGTCATTTAGTGACACGTACGTAGGAAAACACAGAACAACCACACCAATATGTGCACTCGTATACATTTAACAAGTGTTACGTGAGCATTTTAAACACTGATATGTCATTTCTAGATTGATATTGATGCATTAGTTGTCATGGAGATTTGCAGAGATGGGCTCATAGTTGATTCTTCCTTGTGGAGTCTGTTCTCCACAAGGAAGTTTTTATTCTAATTACCGTTGCTCATCAGACGTTCGTTGCAGACTGAACATTACTCCCTCGATTCCTGTGTCAGTAATTCTATTTCCTTTGTTAGGAGACAGCATGTGTTTCCTCTTTACATGGGAAATGTGTCTTGTTTACTCTTCAGAAGAAATGTGAAGCATCTTGTTTCTTCATCAAAAGATTCATATTATTTATGAGTCTTCTCTCTCGGCCGAGACAAGTAAATACACGTCATGTAAGACAGAGCGGGAATTTCTCAAAGAGTTTTCTTTATTCCAGTATAATTACTGTAAACATTGCATTTTTACATTTCATTTATATTTAAAATTTAGAGTAATGTGTTCTATTGGTATTTATGAGTCCAAAAGTTTGGACCTTATTTGAAAATGAGCCCCAAACTGACATCCATAAATTAATACTTAAAAAAAAGATAAATAAAGCAAGAAAGTATAAATTAATATTAAATAAAAACAAGACATGCTGGAATTACAGCTAAAAGACTCAATCCAAACACATAATTAATGCAAAAAATATATCGATATTATCAATATATTATCGGAATTAACGTGACTCAGGTCCTGGGTTGGGTCACGTATACGAGGAACCGAGCAGACCGATTCTCATGTCTGTCTTAACACAACTTGTCTTATTTTGAAACAACTCATTTAAGGGATGATACCTCTTCACGCTGTATACTGGATGTTTTAAAACAATACACTCAAGGCCAAATGGTGGCCTAGTATGTATTAGTGTCTATTGTCTATTGTAGCTGGGTGGAATTATCTGTAACTGCCTCGCCACTGGTCCAGTTGCGTTGAAACCTGAAAAGATGATGCATCTTGTTACTCATTTGTCCCAAAGGGTTCCTGCATAATTCATGAAACAACATGTTTTGCTGTTATACTAAGGTTACACTAAGCCTGAGGTGTGTATACCAAAGTAGGGTACTGTATATAACTCACTGCAAGCTGCTCGTAGGCAGTGATTATGTAAATCACTCTAACATGCAGCTTTTTTTAGTTTTTGTTAAACGACGTGTCAGTGCTATTTATGTTCTGGGTTTTTTTCTCTGCACCGTTCCCAGAGTCCACAGTGCAGACTACTACATGCAGGAGGCCAAGAGACTGAAGCACAAGGCTGATGCTTTGGTAAGATGTTCTACAACTCTCACTGAAGGACACACAGGTTACACACACACACACACACACACACACACACACACACACACACACCTCCATGCTGGAGCACATGCAGGAGGCAGAGAGAAGGCAGATGCACACAGATAGAAGGAAAATGATGTTAACATCTACAGTCTAGACTGTAATTATGTGTGTGCACAGCAATGCTCAGAAGAATGAAAATCTATTTCATATCAAGGACTGTACTGTATAATTTGTGTTATTTATTGCACCATTTGTCTCCAAGGGAACGTTGCATTCAAGGACTGATGGTGTCTGCAAGATTATACAATATCAAAAGAATTATCTGATCCCCTCCCGAACAATGAAATGAGATTTATTTAACTTGTTATTTATCTTATGTTTACGCGTTGTTTCTTCTGATTTATCTGGGGATTTGCATCTCAGCAGGAGATTATTCAAAGAGAAGACTGCGCGTCTGCCACAATGCTGTTAAGACACTGTTTATTCTGTCTCATTCACGTCTTCTCTCTGTCTGTCTATCCTCTGTTACTTTTCATTACTCTCATTTGTCTGCCTGTCTTTTCTTCCTCTCTGTGTGTAGATGGACAAATTTGGTAAAGCGGTGAACTACGCGGACGGCGCCCTCTCCTTCATAGAGTGCGGAAATGCCATGGAGCGAGATCCACTAGAGGCCAAATCACCATACACCATGTACTCTGAGACTGTGGAGCTAATCAGGTACTGTTCGAGAGTGAGTCACGTAGCGGATGGAGAGATTTTACAAGGCTCTCTAATGACTTTGTTGAATGAAACTGATAATTGGTATGATTTCTTAGGAAGGTTCCTTCAAAGCATTATGTCTCATTTGGTTCTAATTGTAGGGAAAATTAAGACAGCAGCTGCGGCTACATGCACACCTTTTTCATTCAGATTGAAATCATTAAGACGTCAGGTCAGCTGTGGACATGGGATGTGATCTAATACGCTGTGGTGTTTACATGCACATGTAATCTGAACAGCTGTGTGACATGCATTTGTCATATATTTGCATATTTGTTTGAATTTTGTGAGTTTGTTTGAATAGGTCGTTATTTCTTATTCTCCTACTGTTTAGGCGTCCAATAATGTTTCTTTAAGAGTTTTTATCAATAAACAAACGTCTCTCCGCGCATTTACTTCAAGACAGAGTGCAGAAAGAACCGACTGTAAAGTAATCAGGTTAAATCGTTTACATGGTGCAATATTCCTTCTGATCGGCTTATGAAAAGGTTTAAACGACTCCTCTGCAGTGAAATTTCACTCAGTTTGGGCCTGTTTATTCTGATGGAGGTGTTTATATGAAGCATTTTTATTCTGTTTGCTTTTTATAATTGGAATATTAGGCTCTGTGTAGACATAGCTAGTGTACACTTTAAATTTATTTAATCAATCAAGCCATCAGAGATTGGGTTGATGAGACATTTTTGAAAACCAAAACTGTTCACTGTTACACTAACTAAACTCAGATGTAAAACTTGCAAAGTTGACAGTGTGCATGTGCACTCATGGGTTCTGTTGTAAAGAACTAAAACTAAGTCAGCACTTCTTGAAATGATAAAAATGCATTGGAGCAGCAGTGGATGAAGGATGTTACCTTATGTGGACTTGACTGAACTCGCTGTCTGGACTGTCTCTAGACTCTGGCTGACAGGGTGACCGCAGATGGGACACAAACTGGTGGATACTCGCTAGTGTCTTTTATGGTTATTTTGACTGAGGGACACTTGAAGACTCCTTTGAAACACTCAAAGGACGACACTAGATTCATATGTGTGCTTGATAGAAAAACTCCCACCTTTTGTGAATTCATCAACAACCATTACTTCATTCGTGGACTAATATGGTTGTAAAAAAACTGTAAATAAAACTGTAAATAAAACCAAAACAAACACTGGTAGGCGTATATTCCACACAAATAGACCCAAACAACGTCAAACTTTTCGATTATGAACTGCTGATCTTTTGTAATACTTAGGTACTGCTGCACATTTAAAAAATGTGTGAACTGTAAACTGTGTAGCTGTGAATTACAGGCAAGCATTAAAATAAACAAATGTGGAGAAGAAGGTTGAATAAATATTATAATATCGTAAGGCAGTTCAAATGATCTCATTAAAATTTTAGCAGTTTTCTTGAGAAAAAATCTCTGGAAATCAACTGTTTATACTCTCTACCCAGCTATGCAGCTATTATAAACTGATTCTTTGCTAAACACTCTCATAAATAAGTGACTATTTTTTGCACTGTCTCAAAACATTGTCTCTGTTTTCTTTTAATTACTATCAAATCTTTTAGGAAACATTGCCCAGGATTCATATGTGAAAAATGACACCTCTTTTATCAGCCCAACCTTACTGACCTGTTGTAGATTTAGCCTATTAGCTTCGATAATATTCTGTGGTTGCATAGTGCATGGTCACCTCTCTGCCAACAGAAAACGACAAATCAACACTTGAGTTTTTGAATAAGAACTAAACCCTAATTAGCATGAAGCCAGGGCTCTATTCATGATTTTTATTTTATATTTTTTTGCCTTCTTCATCTAAAGCTTCACAGACCTGCAAGGTTGCTAATGAGCGCAGTTTAACTCGTGTTGCATTACAGGATCTCTGCTGTTTTTCAGCCTTTCAGAGCTGCCAGCCTGTGAAGTCACCAAGTGAAAGTTTAAGAGAGCAAACTGAGAATAATGAATGAGTCCTACCTCTGAAAGCAGGCAGGTTGTGGCAGCAGATTGCTGTGGCGGGAGAGACTTTTACCTGAAGGACTCAGGTTCAAGATCTGCCTGTCTGCACTCATCCATGCTGCTGAAGGGTCCTTGAGCAAGACACTGAACCGTCCCCAGCTGCAGGGCTTGCTGATCTGTGACCCTGGCCTTTGACTGCCCCAAAGGAGGCAGGAGAAGAAAAAGGACAAGGGTTTTTCCTACAGAGATCAATAAAGTATAAAGGTGTAACTCCTCTCCCCTGATGCACCTGTCACTGCTGAATTTCATTTTGACTGATTAACCACCTCGCTTAGCAATCACACAGGGTCCAATGAGGGCAGGAGGCAACAGCTGACCCCTACAGCATTTCTTTAAATACCCAATCAATAACCAAACGAGAAATGTATCCGTCCACAGAGTCAGATAAAGCTGACCTGTAGCTTGTCTTGCCTGAAGGTACTCCGGCTGGGTGGATGCTGGCTGTCAGCGAGCTGAAGGAATTAATCACTAACTGACATGTGACTGTTTTATATTCTTTATGTTCAGAAAGAGCTGCTCCTTGAAAGATCTTAACCTTGATTTTCTAATTAAAAAAGAACCTTGAGTATACATGTATTTACTATCATGAGAAAAGTAAAGTGTGTTTTCGTTCCACGCCCATAAATCACTGGAAATGTCAGCAGATGAGTAATGAGCGTCTCTCCTCTGCAGGTATGCCATGAGGTTGAAGAACTTCACCAGCCATTCAGCCACCGTGGCCGAGAAGAAACTAGCTGTGTTGTGGTATGATTTTCTTTTTTGTGTGTGTGTGTGTGTGTGTGTGTGTGTATGTAAAATACAGTAAGGGTAATTGACAGGGTTTTAGAAATACTGTACATTGACAGCCAAAAATGTCCCCAAATTGTTTGTTTTTATTTAGATTTTTTTATATTTAATTATTTCACTGTTAAACCTACTACAAGGAGTTTTTAACTGATGAAACTGTCAATTTAAGTAACACTACCGCTTTTGTCCACAGGGGTCGCCAAAATCAACACAAAATGAAAGTTCCTTAATACCGCTTTAAATAATTTTGGTGGTTACTCACCATGTGGTTATGTCATACCTTCTCTTCCCCTCCCCCTCTTGTCTGTAAACTTTAACTCCCCACAGTACAAGATTATGTAAATGCAGCTTTATCACACTGCTAGCCAAATTCTGGTGGAGAAATGCCGAAATGCTAAATTTACTCTTGCCCTAAAAGTATGCAAATTTAAATGATTTTGGGGCCATATGCAAAAACATTTTTGTATTCTTAAACCTAAATCTCTCTTACTTGTGTGAGGTTTGCTCTTAGGAATGTTGCAAGTTGGATTCAGGAAACACTTTTAACTGCTGCGCATTCATGACACAAAAACATAAACCAAGAAAAGAAGATTTTAGAAAAAGTAAATTCATGTTACAAACATGTAATCAGAGCAGCGCTGTACTGTGAGAATAGAGGAAATGGTTTGACATGAAGCTCATTTGTCGACAGCTTGTTATCTCTGTTATCTATTCCAGAGGCCTGATTTTCCAAAAATAACCATTCTCTCTCAGGTTTTTTGGCGTTATATATATTAGTATATTTGGTCGTGCATGAAAGGACGAAGTCAGGTGACCTTCGTCGTCATGGTAACAATAATAAGTACTTGGTTAACTTTGTGAAACGGTTGCAGTGTAGTTCGGTTTAGGAAAGGTATTGGTTTGGGTTAAAATAAGTACGTAAGTTACGTCAGTAAAAGCAGCAACAAGGAACTTTCATTTTGTGTTGATTCTGGCGCCCCCTGTGGATAAAAGCGGTAGTGTTTCCACCGCCTTTTTTCATTGATTTAAAGGGGAATCCAACCGAATCCGACCCTGTGGCTGGCTTTAAGAATAACTATATAGAAATACCCAATCTTCTCACTGACGATTCGTTTATGTAGGTCATATAGAGGCATTAACATTACACTGAGACTGTTTTATAACCAGTTAAAAACTACTTGTAGTAGGTGTAAGTTATGTAAGTAAGCTGGTGATACCAAAGTGTGTATTTTCTGAACAACTGGCCTTCGGAGCAATGTGCGTTTGTTTTTGTTTTTTTGGAATAACGGGCTGTCAGACAAATGGGCTTTTGTCCAGTGGGACGTTTTCGCTCTGCACTATCAGGGTTTCGGAACAATGGCATGACAGCAATGATGTTACACAGTTGAGTGCAACGGGCCTGACAGCGACATGGTTGACAGCGACCTGCTTAGAGACTGCCAGACAGCGAGAAGCTCCAAATTCATTCAGATAAAGGCACTACAATTCTTGAGTCGCTCGTGTCAAAGTGTTTTTCCCCCTGTGGAGAGACAAGTCTGACTAAGACAAAATTGGTGAATGTGACAATTTCTCTGAAATCACTCACTCGTTTCACTTACGAACCCCCCCACCCTCACAATGATCCCAAAAACCATTTCAGGGAGATGTTGGTTTTTTTAATCCCTCTCTGTGAATTAATAAATGTACAATTCACAAGCAAAGATATGGATTTTTACATTATCATACTGTAGTTTTAGACATTCCCCACATTCTTCACTTCACTGAAGTTCTTCCTAATCCACGAGGACTTGTGGGGCGTGTTTGAAGTCCGTGTGCATTTCCTTTTTTTGCGTGGATGACATTAAAATAATGTTGAGAACGGAGCTTTAAAGGGAATTTGTACAGAGGATTCATCTGCCTTCTAATGGTTTTGTTTCCATAGTAACCGCTGTCTGTCTCTGCTGTATCTGAGGATGTTCCATCTGAAGAAAGACCACGCTGTCAAGTACTCGCGGTCGCTCATGGAGTACTTCAAGGTAACACACAAGCACACTTGGACATGGACTTCCTTCCCCTCCGCTCTCATTTTCTCCCTCTGCGGTTGAAAAACATGAAAAGCTAATTACGATCCCTCAAATACATTTCATATTCATTTTCATGGTGCCTGTGCATTAATTTTGCATGACGTTATTAAAATCCATTCTTTCTCTTTGATATTAATGTATTAATTAGCTCCATCAATCATCACAGTGGATTGTTAGGGTTTAATGTGCTTGTTTTGATTGATTATGTTTAGTTTAATTAATTACTGAGGATGTCATTATCACAGTGCCGCATTTGCATTGATGGGATTGGATTTCTGGAAAGGGACTGACTCGGGGTTTAGTGTGCGCTGGCTGTGTACATACAGTATATGTTGACAGAAAAAAAAAAAAAAAACTGAGATCAGTCGGAGGAGTTCGTTTTAAAAGAGAAATGGCACAAAAACAGTGTTGCCAGTTCTGTAATATACTTATCCACATGACACATTAATGTGGATTTTGCTTGTCACTATGTAACATCACGATTTAATGTTCAGAAATTACACTTTCTGTATGGGGCAAATTGGTGGCCCAGTGGGGTTCGGCTCATCTTATATTAACATCAATATTTCAGCCGTTTAGCTGGTGCTATAGCCTACAGTGCTTTTCTTATATCACTGATTAAATGAAGGGTTTGAATCCAAAATATACACAGTTATAGGACAGATATAGATTCTAATCACTAAGTGTATTATTAAAAAAACATTATTTTAACATAATTACTTCTAAATCCAGGTAGTTGAGCTTTATGCCAGGTTTTATTACTTGGGTAATTATGGTGTATTTACAGCAATGGTATCAATGTGTGCTGACCCTGTTAAACCAGTCAATAAATAAATAGAAATAAAAGAGTTCAACATTTTGTGAAACAGGCTTACTCACTTTATTGCTGAGATTTAGAAGAGATAGAGATAGAAAGATAGATAGAGATACCAGTCTTTTATTTATTTTTATTATAGTTAAATATGAAGATACAGCTAGCAGGTCGTTAGCATAGCCTGATATAAAAACTGGAAACAGCTCTTCTAGCTCTGCATATAAACCTGAGTGTAAAACCACAATATCATTTTTACACTTTTGTACAGATAAAACAAACGAGATACGACATGTTAATAATTGAGTTTCCAGCCTTTGTGCTAAGCTAACCATCTTTTGGCCATAGCTTCATATTTGATCATCTTTGATGGTCAAAATCTGTAAAATATGACGTCTGCTGAATGTTATAATGTCTCTAGTCGTTCTTATCCAGTAAAGAAAATACTGTAAGCAATGAAAACATATTGATAACATATCACAATTAATTAAAATAGCATCCAAATCGCAGAAGCTACCGATTTTTTGATAAAGGTAAAATGTGTTATAGCAGCAGTATAATGAAGTGTTATAGTGCTGCAGAGATGATTTTAATAGTATTTTTTTGTGAAAATAATAATTCCTACTAATCATCAATCATATCAATCACAATCGGATTTTTTAACATATCTTGTAGCCCTATTAATACATTTGTCTTTTTGTGACCCAGAATTCAGCCAAGACTTCTCACCAAGCACCTTCTCCCTGGAGGACCAACGGGAAGTGAGTACACACACACAAACACACACACACACACACACACACACACATGCAGTATCAACCCCTTCATTCACACAGATAATTGAGAATTTATAATTCACAGCAGCTTTGCAAAATACCATGCCGCCACTGACAGCCACTTCCTCAAACAAACCCCTCAGGAAGAAAATAAAGGGATTGATTTGTTGTAGATGTGAGGAGGAGAAGACTGGAGGGGCTGCCGAGTGCCGGGTGAGAAGGAGTGATGATAGATGGAGGAGGAGAGGGGTGGAGGAGCTGTGGATGTGAAGCTAATGAGTTCAGACAGCCCTGACGCTGCACAACAGCAGGACCGGAGTTCAGTGTGTGTGTGTGTGTGTGTTTGTGTGTGTGTGTGTGTGTGTGTGTGTGTGTGTGTGTGTGTGTGTGTGTGTGTGTGTGTGTGTGTGTGCAGCACTGAATCAGGCACAAGTCGTTGGGTCAGCGAGGGTCAAGGCCACATCACAGACATTACATCACTGCCAGAGCCACACACCCAGCTGTGCAAGGCAGGGGGAGCAGTTTGTACTAGCATGACTGATGTTATTATACAGTGAATGCCACACACCCCCTCACTTTTTATAGCCTCAGGTCTGGAGTGATTACTCCTTTATTGTATTTGATATAGCTCGCTGCAAAGTCAAAGCCAAAACAAAGACTGCTATTATGTCTGACAAATGTTCACCGTAATTATAGTGCAGCAAAATATAAACATAAGCATACTGTATTATTGATCATTTAGTTATGATCGTTAGGATAAATGTAAACTAGTAATGTAAGTAATTACATTCAAATGAAATAAATAACTCTTTGGTCACACTTTCCTCTTCATATGTTATCAATAACTCATAATAAGCCCTCCATGTATTCTCCAGGGTCAATGGGACTCCATCTCCCCTCTCACTCAGCCCCTCCCCAGCCAGCAACGGAGGAGGAGCAGGAGGAGGATCTGGAGGTGCCCCCGGCTCGTCGGGAAGTGTGGCTATTCCCCAACGGATTCACCACATGGCTGCCAGTCACGTTAACATCACTAACAACATCCTGCGGAGCTATGAACACTGGGAGACGGCTGACAGACTGGCCACTGATAGCCAAGGTACAGTAGGACGACAGTGACTTTGCATGGTTGTATATAATGTTTGTACATCTTTGCTTTTGTTTTTGCACCACACTCACCAAATATAAATGTTGGAGGAGGTTTAGTTTCGCTCGTTCAGCCATTTTCTTCATGCTTATACTGTAGTAAACAGCTGTTTCTTGCATTCTCTGTGTTTAGGAAAGAAAATGTGAAGGCTTTTATGAACAGGCTGTTTGTCCAGGCACACTGAGTAGCCAGATGAATATAAATCAATAGAAATGCTGTTGATTCTTTCCACTAAGTATAAAAAAGAACAAATGACAGCTAAAACCAGTTTCAAAGGTGTGTATTAGCAATCATAATGGACAAAAAGGATACTGATAAACACAGTAAATATGTCATTTTTATGGCGAGGAGAGGAATTATGTTTTATAACTATAATGTTTATAAGTAGGAGAGTTAGAAATAGTTACAAATAGTATATCAGAAACTTTTTCCACACTATTCTCTGACAATAGGAATCAAGGACACTTACACAGGTGCATTAGCTTTTAAAGTGTCCTTGATTCCTATTGTCACCTTTTGAAGGAGCAGATACTCGCCTTATATCTACATTGTGTCTGCTCAGGCTAAACTACAGGGGCTGATTTGTGAGCCACAAGGTAGCCACGCCCCAGAAGCATACTGATTCATTTTACTCTAAATGGGACCATAATTTAAGAAATGATCATCATACTGTTTGGAAGAAGACTTGAAACAAGAGATTGAGACCATAAACTCGTAAGGAAACTGTTTACTGAGCTCATAAATCCTGTGAGAAATTGGGTCATTGCCATAGATTCACTTTTGTCTACAACCTCATCAGTTAACAGCATGCTGGCTAACAACCAGCTGACAACATTTCAAGCTCACTAGTATTTTGCTATCACCGGCAACATGCTGCCTTACCCACCAGGCAACGGGCAAAACAGTCACCCCCTCATCTAGTAGAGCTAAAGCATGCTAAAAGCATGTCAAGCTAATTATCGTGCTGCCGGAGCCACCAAATAAAACTCAAATGTAATGTTAGGGTTGAATTTTCACAATAAAAGTACATTTACTTTATTTTATTAACTAGATTGCTGCTCAACAAAAAGATAGATAGAGAAAGAAAGAAAGAGATATAATAATAAACTGGTGTAGACCAAGTTTTGTGTCTTATGGATGAATGACTTACCTGACTGCCTATTTGATACCCAGAGCACCGTCAGTAAAAGCACTCAACCTGTATTAATGTGTTTAATTTCAGCACATAAGTAACCGTCAGTAACTGTGTCTCTCCCTCGTCCTCCTGTAGAGTTCTTCCAGGAGTTGGACTCGGTGATGGAGCCGTTGAGTCAGCAGAGCAGCATGACTGAGCTGGTCCGATACATCAGACAGGGACTGCACTGGCTCCGCATAGAGGCTCACCTGCTGTAAGGACTGGACCAGAGCCAAACTTTACAACAACAAAAAGAGAAAAAAGAAATGGGCCTGGGAGCTAGAACTGGGATAACAAGTGAGATGAGACTCAGGACGATGCTTCAGTTCCCACTGGGATCCTTCAAATGACCCGACACCACCCACAGTAATGTAACAGCATACACTGGGCGGATTAATTGGGCTAAAAAAAATCATCCACAATTAGGCCTGAACAGTAACTAAGTTTGGGGGATTTCTAACTGTGAACCACACAATACAAATTAGCATATTAGAATTTGGCTGATGCTGCTTTTTGGAGCAACTGTACATCAGTGAAGGTAGCCTTAATTCCTGAAGGGACAATATATGTTACAAACCTCTCTGTGTCCCTGAATAGAAATAAGAACCGCAGAGGAAAGGTATTTTTACTAAGACAGGATCATTTTCAAAAAGATATGTGAGAGGCTGATGTGATTAAGGAGGCTGAAGGTAGGAAAGGAGCTCAACAGAGGCTCATCTGCTCCAGCAGTGGCCAGGAAACGTGTCTGTGATTGGGACTAGAATTAAAGCCTCGGGCTGATATTGATCCAAAGTGGAGTACCGGTCCTATCCATTAGATAAGAACCACGCTGGTAAAGGAAAGAGGCTCAGCTAAAAGCACTAGAGCTGAATTGATGGAGGCTGAAGTTATCTTCTATTTCAGTCGGGAGCTGCTGGCTGTGTTGTGTATTCTTTAAGTATTTTAACAACATACAGTAATTAGTCACAAAAAGTCTTGTTAAGAATGACTGCTCAAAAGTCTTTGTGGTTTTTCATTTCATTTAAAGTTATTTTTTATAGTATTTATGACTGGCATCTCTTGTTAGCTGCCTTTCATATAGTAGTTTGCGACATCAGTGTCGGACTCCGCCGTTCTTGTGCTGGATTAAAATGGCGTAAAAATTCCCAGGAAACAATGCACAGAAAAAAGTTTCTTAGGACTTTATTATTATTATTTATTTGTTCACCACCAGCAGGTGACGCTAAATCAATCAGAAGTGAAATCTTACGTGTTTTAACTTTAAATCTGAATTTGCTTCTTAACTCTGGATTTATATCTCACATAATTCAAGTTTGTTCGATGACCCTCGCCTACCTCTACATAGGGTCAGTTACTGTTTGAAAACTTTTTATACTGTGCCGATACGATTCCTAAGCTTTGGTGCTGAATACCAAAACAATATATAAAGATAATTATGTTTTTCTACTAACCCCCTTTTAATTTTTCATTTCAAATTTAAATGTCTAAACACAAGCAGTCATACAAAGATTTTGCCTTAATAAAATGGCTAAATTTGGAGTTAAATTGGGAATTATCTAAACAAAGAATAAACAGGATAATGAATTTGACCAGACATGATACCAGCGTTTCATACTTGACAGTTTTTGATACTTGTTGCAATGGACTGATTTTAGTATTGAGGTTTGATACCCAGCCCTACCTCTTAATGCATTTTTAAGTATCAATATGAGCATCAGGATAGTTAGGTACATCGATGGTTTGTTTAAATAGAAGCTGTAAGATCTCAGATGTGGAGCCTCTCAGTACAATCCAACCAAGATAACTTGAACATTGAGATGTTTCTAGCTAGACTGAGGATTACAAGACCTGGTGGAGTGGCAGTCCGGGGAGTTTACAGCTCAGCAGAACAAGCGCTCAATTCACTGGTCCTACAAATGAGGGCTTTCTTCCATCAGAAAAAAAAAAAAGAAAAAAGCATTTGTCTGGTTCTTCTCTCACTGGTTATGAGCTTTGGTGAAATTCCACTCAGTTCTATTTCCCATAGTAACCCACCCACTAAGGTGTCAAACACTTAAGGGGGAAAAAACTACAGGATTCAGTATGATTTGGCTCTAATTAAGCACCCCACCCACGAGCAGATCAAGTAAACAACTCTCACGTCGGCTTTTCTGCCCTGATGTCAAAGAAAATCCTTGCATCAGCAGCGACTTTGTACAGCGCTTAATGAGATCAAATCATCTGCTGGATATCTTGTAGTCGTTTCCCCGCATTCGTTGTGTTGTGTTGTTGGTGTGTATAAGTGTACAGCTGATTGTCAAGTCTATTTAAATCATTACCTGACTGGACAATGATGATGTTTGTGTACCATAATGTACAGACTGTGACTCCTGAAAACAGTGTTTTTGTTTTTTTAGTGTCTTGTGAATGATTCAATGTGAATGAATGAGGAGGTGGAACAAGAAAATAGGGTATCTATATATATGTGTGAGTGTGTGTGTGTCCATGCACAGGGTATGGCTGCATTTACACAGCACCAAACATAATCTGATTTTTAACCCTTTGTGGCACATAAAAACAAAAGAAGAGCGTTTTGTTTCCGTGCAGCGTCCTCCTCTCTTTTTCACTTGTGCTATAAAGACTTAAAATCTAGATTTTTTTTTCATGGTCCCTGTAAATCCAGCACATCAAGCATGAGTTTTTATGTTTTGGATCATTTGACCATCGCTGAATGTGTATGGAAGACAATGCGGATGTGGAAAGTAATTTTCACTTTGACAAAAAAAAAAAGAAACTCAAGTGCCTCTATTTGTGTCCAGTGGGAATTGCTCTATTTATTTAAGAACAAAGAATTAATCTAAATAATTTTCCATACCATATTGGTATAAATATGAGATTGTTTTTCGTAAAATCAAATGTTTCCACAAGCTTTTTACTGGCGTTTATGACGACACCAGGGTTTGGCTTTAAGAAAAAATGTGTGATTTAACGTGTCAAATTTGCATCAGTTGCTGTTTTTTTTTTTTTTTTTTTTTATCTTAATGATTTGAGCAAGTATGGGTTTGTCTGAAATGCCTGAAAAATTAAAACCATCGCATGCAATAAATGATAGCTTCAGACCAAGAACTACTTGTGTCCATTTTGAAAAACAAAAAACAAAAAAAAAAAAAAAAAACAGTCAATGTATTTCTTGTCACATAGTCATTTACAGTGAGAAAAAACAGAGCCGCTTCAAATGCACAACGCTAACAGTCCGATGGAGGTTCAAGAACATATAGTCAATGAACAGGAAGAGTTCAACTTTTTATAGGAAATGTGCTTAATTTGCCCTCATAAGATGAGAAGATTGATACCACTCTCATGTTTGTATGATACATTTGAAACCAGAGCCAGCAGTCGCTTAGCTTAGCTTAGCATAAAGATTGGAAACAGCTACAGCTTGGTTTCATCCAAAGGTAACAAAATCCACCTACCGGTTTGTTTTAGGGCTGGTTAATCCGATTTCTTTTCATACAATGTGTAAAAAGTTTCACTGTGACAATCCAGTTATTACAACGTGCACTAAAAGGTTAGTTAGGTGTAAGCTGCTATATTAGCTGTTGTGAGTCATGACAGTCCCATACACCAATTTCTTTTCCCAGGGTGGTGAAGTCACAACCTGCCCTACTCTACCTCTGACTGGCTGACACTCATTGCCTTCATTGGTTTGGTTAGTTAGGTTTTTAGGCATGAGGAGTGAGATTGGTTAGGGTTGTCAGGGTAAGCCAATCAGAGGCAGAGTAGGGCGAGTCACATCTTCACTGTTAAGTGATACTGAACTACACCTGACACAGTTTAGAAGAATGTTTTAACAGCAAATGGACATCTCTTGTTACGAGAGGTTCACTACCTGCCGGGTAGCATCAAGTCTGTAAATCCCGATTTATTTATTTATTTATTGATTTTAATTTTTATCTCATCGCCCAACCAACCTTCGTTTGTTTCTTGGTCGGGTGTACAGATTAAAACAACGAGGTATAACGTGTTAATTAGTGCGCATTTGAATTGATTGTAAGCAGATTTTGTGACCTTTTGAATAAAGCCAAGTTAGCCCCGTTTCCATTCTTTGTGCTAAACTAAGCTGACTGGGTGATTCAGAGTGGACATGAGAGTGGTAACTACCAGCTAGAATGTGAATAAGCATATTTCCAAAAAATGTCAAAACTATTCCTTTAAAATGGACTCATGGTTCTTCATCTGAAAGCCTGAAAATGTTTAACAGTGAACATTTTGGATAACCGTCCCAAACTCCACTCCCTGTGGTTCAACAAAAATGCCTTTTTTTTTAAAGTCGTTGTTTCTTTTCTTTGTTTTAATTTGAATTTTTTGAGGTCATGAAGCCAAAATGTCCCAATGAGCCAATGAACGTCTACAACAGCCAACAAACAAAACCCACAAACTGTTTCAGTCAGACCTCAGTCATTACAAGTCAATAGTTGATCCACAGTGTTGCTCAGTCCAATTCAATGATGTTCGATGTTGTTTTGTTTTATGGTGAAACAGTGATGTTACTATATGGTTATTGTTACTTTCACACAATGGTCCTTATTTTGATTATATGCAGCGGTACAATATATTTATACAATAATATGCTGTAAAATGTCAAAAAACTTTGCATTGGTGACATCATGGGAAGCATCGGTTTCATCCCGCCATGCTACATGTCACATGATGGTTATGGTAAATGTTGAATTCACGCAACAGTTCATTTGACTATATGCAACGTCAAACAATGTCCGTATATTCTGAAACGTTTCGGAGACAGACTGCCTCAGCATGGCCTTTTATTCTGCTGACATCTTATTAAATATCTCATTAGCTCCTGTTACATTATCACAGTTGTCAACTTGTTTATCAAAAGCAGCAGTGACAGAAACAACGTCGCTGCTGTGGTGATTACAATGGAGAGCTTAAACAGACTGATTTATTTTTTGACAACAGATGGCTACAAGCTGATAATACATTGATAATCTCTCCAGTAGTGATGAGTGTCTCTAATATTTGTTTGCATTTCAGAAAATCACAGATACACTTTGATTGCTTATGAAATTGCCAAAACTGCCTCATACAGTAAATGAACTAGCAGTATTTATAAAGACAATAAAGGGTTTTTTCTTCTCAAATTCCTTGTAATCTACCAGAAAGCTGCTTTTTTTTCTTGTTTTTTTTCCATTTGATTGTCCTCAGTTGTACTGTTGGAGTCATGCAACAGTGTTAGAAACAAATATTTGAAAGAGAGTAGTCTCTATTTATCCGATAAATAATCATTTGTTGAGGTCACTGGAGGGAAATTAATACGCTATCACCACTGCTAATAACTGCTAACATGTTGCATCATGTTTTCTCTTTTATGCTTAATTACTTGATTACTTAAGTAGTAATCATCATAAGTCCCTTTCAAGTTATTCCTTAGAGAAAGCTACTATTAGTGTGGGAAAATTCTTATCTTCAGTTGTACCAGAATACAACACTTTGCCAAATAAGTTCTGTAACCAATATACTGTGTTTATTTATTGTGCGGTGGAATACAAGCAGGGCCGGGGCGAGAGAAATATTCATGGGGTTGCAAGAGGGTGGCATGGATATATTACTATTTGCTTGAAAAAAATTATAAAAGAAAAGATATTTGAACTCAAAAACATTATATTACTGTAGCGCACTAGTAAAACATTGAATACAAATATCTAAAGCTGGCATTAGAAATCATTTCATATTGCAATATATTGTGATTCTGTAGGCAAGGCAATATATTGTGCAGTGGGGGTCTGCATTTGTCCCTGTAACATCCTCAGTTTACAACTCTGCTATCTAGCAGTTGGAAGTTTAAATCTAAAAGTGGATACAGTATTAGTATTACTACAGAGAATCGATGCAATATTTTCTTACACCTCTAGTGCCAAGGCATGCCACCCCTCTAGATCCACCCCTGAACACACTGACAGGAATAGTTGCACTTTCTTCTCTTCACAAGAAAATCGATTCACTCTTTGTGCGTATCTAGTACTGACCTGGAACCAGGAGATAATTATCCTAGCTTAGCATAAAGACTGGGAGCAGGGAGAAAGCGCTATTACACTTTGTATCTTGTTTGTGTAACCCACACACTAAACAAAACTACAAAGAAATAGTTCCAGCAGCCAACTCTCCCTAAAACCACAAATTGTTGCTTTTACATTTCTGTTTCTGTACAGATTAAACTAACGACATGCAACGTGTTAATGAGTGAGTTTAGAGATGCTGCTGGTTAGTCGTTTCCTCCTGCTTCCAGTCTTTATGCTAAACTAGGTTAATTGTTTTATCTTCTATCTGTCTAGCTCTATCTTTGACATGAAAGTGGTACCAAACTTCACATCTAACTCTTAGAAAGAAAGTAAATAAGCGTATTTAGTGTTGCACATTTTCTTTAATAGGCTTTGTAGTTGATATAAAGCTCCTGTATTAGAGTAATGTAGCAGTAAATATAAAATACTGTCCATGCAGAAGTCAAACTTTGGATTATATGATTAAAAACATATCATTAAGTTAATCAAAGAGCTTATTTATCCACTAACAATAGGACAGCCGGTTCCCAATCAATTTGACACTAAACAGGAACATTTAAAAAAAAGCAGCAGTATAATTTTAATCAGATATATTCCCTCTGAAACTATGTTAACCTCTGCCAAGGTTGCTTTGATGGTTTCAGTGTCTCATGTGCAGTTACTTTGTAATATTGCATCCCTGCTGGGACACAATGGTGTTACATATGGCAGTGGTTCAAAACGGCCCCACGGTGAGAACAACCCATAAAACAGGAAGTAAAAAAACTGTGTGGACATTGGTTATTCTGTTCCCTCCAGTGAAAAACCATCAGCTGGTCTCAGCTGTAATGCAGAATAGACCCAGGTCAGTTAACTTGAATTTAGTGCAAACTCATCTTTAAAGGTGCGAAATGTAGCGGTTTCTTAAACTAGGCACTTCCCGACCGCCAGTGGTTGTTCGGGCCGAATTTTTCTAAAAACTGAGACACTTTTAATCATAAACCTTGTAGATTCTTGTCAAGTTTTTACAGTACAACTAACCTTTCTTTAGCTTTGTAGACTGTATTCTTGGTGATGATCTACTTTGGTTATTGCAGCAGGATCCAAATTCATGTGGCATTTATTGATGTTAAAAATGCTACAAGGCACCTTTAAAGTGTTGGGCATCCCAATATGATTAAATTAGCATATTTAAAGCCCAGTCATTGGTGGTTTAGAGACGGGCAGCAACACGGTGCCTCTGATTCAACCTGACAAATCTCTGTCTGTGGTTCTGATGTACATCACTTGCAACATTGTAAAGATTTCTACAAAATAACATCCGGAATCACATCCGTCCAACATGGATTGCATTGTATTTTTAAATGTGTTGCACAACTTCAGCTGTTTTTCTGTTTCTATCAGTGCTATTTTTTGGCCTTTTATATGGTTCTTTTTATAATGAAGTTGTTCTATGTGATGATCAGAAGTTGTGATGCAGTTCCATTGTTTTTAAATATTTAATGTCTCTAAAATATGGATTAAAATCTGTTTAAACCAGTGGTCCGGCTGCTCTCATGGTCGTATGTGCCTTTTTAAAATGTTATAGTTGGCTTTTATAAACATTTGCACTCATAATGATTTCAAATTCACTACAAGAAAACATAAAATCATATATATTGCATTATCAACAAGAGATAGCAAACAGACATTCACTGTATTAAAACCATAATATAAACACCTTAATATTCATTCTTACAATAAGACTGAGACTTCTTAATGAGTAACATCTCTCCGGTTTTACACACAACAAGATTATTTTATAAAGAAGACCTGAGTGTTTGAGTGGCCTTGATGTAATACATTATAAGAGCCAAGCTAGTCTTCTTATTAGCACTAATGGACTCTTATTTCTACATCATAACAACTATTAGCCTACTTCACCATGCATGATTAATTCATTGAATATAGCCACACATTAGAATTCAAGAGGGAAGGAGAAGGCTGTGTGTCTTTAGAAAGTAAGAGACGGTGAAAAAGAGCTCGATGGACTTCAGAGTGAAATGAGAAGAATAACGACGGCGTAAAGACAAGGAGTCTCACGTTAAAGTCCAATTTAAAGCACGCATTTTCTGGGAGACACACATCCCATCTAATTAAGTATTTCCCTAAATGAGTAAGGAGGTGGAAAGCCTATTTGCAGGCCCTAAGACATATAAGGTGAGTGTGTGTGTGTCCTTGGTGTAGAGCCAACACACCGACAGCTTAGATTTATAGGTTTAATTGCCATAGGTAACCATGCAGTCAAATAAGCTCTCAGAGATATGGTTAAGCATCACACACACACACATAACACACACGTGCCCACATCCACATAGAGACCAAACTGTATGGACACACACATATTGCTGCAATAAGCATCAATTAACCCCAAAGGGAAATCTGACCCGAGTAGATCCTGATGACTTTAATGCAGTGGTTCCCAATCTGGGGGGCTGGGGGACTTTTTAAAGGTCCAGTGTGTAGAATTTAGTGGCATCTAGCAGTGTAGTTGCAGATTACATTTCCCTCGCTTCACCTTCCCTTTCAAAGAAGAAGGAACTACAATGGCCTCAAATGTCGGCTCAACATGGCGGCCTCCATGAAAGGCGACCCGTGATGTCTGTAGATATAAAAAGCTCATTAGGAAACAAAAGAAACAAGAATTCTTATTTTCAGGTGATTATACACCAATTAAAACATACCTATGAATATTATTATTATTATAAAACCTCCTAAATGTTACACACTGGTCCGTTAAGGGGTGTAAAAAAAACTAAATCTCAGTACTTTGTTCATTTCTGTGAAGAAAACTACTTGAAATTGTTATTTTCAAACTTTATATTATTATATAAAATCTAAACTTCAAAGACCTGAATCAGAATCAGAATATTCACAGAGCCTTCACTATCTGATAAACAGACAAACCTGCTGCAGTTAATTGTAAAGTTGATCAGTTGTTCTGTAGTGTCATTATTATGCATTTAGTATCATTTTAATGTCAGGTTACTCAATGATAGAAAAGGGTCCCTTATACAATACGCTGACTTTAATGTATCACCGCTGTTCTCTATTAAAATCCTTCAATATCTACATCTCCACATCCACTCAACAGCTGAGCCAAAACACACTGGATTTATTCTTTGTGACATTTCAAAAGTGTGTTTAGACAGCTGGAGAGAAACACAGCTAATGTAGCATGAGCACTAGAACCTCATGCACACTGCCATTTATTGACTCTAACATGTGGACTGGCGCTGTGATCAAGGCGGCTGAAGCGCAAGTTTCCCCCCTGTGTGAGCAGCCTGGTTGAGCAGTCCCAACACGTTGACCGAGTTTTAAAGTTGTAAGAAGCTCATTATCCATTCCCATGGTATATTCTTACAGACGATCTGAATAAAAAAAATAACTCTCCTTTGGGCCTTTAAATAAAAGCTGATTGGGAAACAGGGAGTTGATTTTAGATGGATATGTATTTAAATCAAATGCAGACTTCGGAGTCTGGAGTCACAATGTGACTTCAGATCTTTGGGAGTGTAACAAATACTAATGACAGGAAATTTTGAAATAAATATTACTAATATTTTTTAGCCAGCAGTAAGAGGCCGATTCTGGATGGGAACTTTGAATTATCCCTGTGACATTTTCTCTCTTAGTTTTACAAATGCTCACACAACCATCACCTGCTGATAATCTATCTAAATGCAAGCAAATGGTGAATGTCAGACAAAAAGAACACCTTCTCATTATAACAAGAAGATATTCTTGTGTTTAACACCAGTTCGTGTGTAGTAGAATGTGTCTTTCACTGTGTAAACCTTATGATGGACCAACATTTTAGATCTTTTATCAGCATAAAGGTGTACTTGTTTTGCTTTTGATAACACAGTAAGGTAGACAGGTAACAACTGATCCTTCCTGTCCCGCCCCTTTTTGCTCTGTGCTCCAATAACAGTTGAGCAAGCGTCGGCCAACTTCCTCCTTTCCTGTACTTAGATATGCTACGTGCTAACCTCAGCTACATTGAAACCAAGTGTGAACCTATCATGACCTCACCCATTAGTTTGTGGAGAACCGTTCTGAAGCCTCGAGATTGGCATTATGGTCGTCACCATGATGGCTAAACAGTACACGAAAATATGTTTCTGAAATGATTTTTGGTGAGAAATAGTCAACACAGTAACATAAGTTGGATTCGTATTTGATCAGCACTGACTAGTTTGATCTGAGTTTGGTGCATTGAGCTGGATGAACTCACTGAGAATGACCTTTCAAACACAAGGTAGCCACAGCCCTAAAGCCTAAATGTGTCTATCATGGGAGAGAGCGTTATGTAATAACTCCACAAAATGTAATACATTTACACTTCAGTATTAATGAGCTGCTGCATTTTGTAATGAACAGCATTAACGCAATATCTCATACACATATGTAGCACATTTCCCCGTACATAGTGTAAACCAGGACAGGACACAGCTAGGATTATAGAAGAGTTCATGAGTCCCTCCAGTGCAGTGAAATCAGTGTGCTGAAGTGTTTATTGAGATGCAGCTTGGTAAATGATAGATGGGGATACTAAAGGATAAAATAAAAGACAGAAAATGGAAAGTACTAATTGAAAACATGCTGGGGACTTTATGAATTTGTCTTTCAGGCTGGTGTTTTGAGACCCCTGATCTAGAGACAACAACAATACACACAATTGAAAATGCAGATTATTCTAATGATAATGTTTTAATCTCCAGCATTGATACCAGGATGAACACCCAGGGGCATAAAAGGTAGCACACACACAGGAAAAAGTTGACTAATCTCAATCACACCTATTTAAAAACATGTTCGCCTCGTGGCCTTCATCAGAGCATGAATGGTTTAATCTCATTCTCCAAACACTAGCCTGTTATTGGTATAATTAACATTTCAACTGAAAATGCATTTTACCCCATTTTTAAAACCACATGTTTCCTACACCAGCTACCACCAAAGAGTCGATTACAGCCATTCAACTTCATTAAAAGAAACCAAATCAGAAAATGAATTCCCTCTCTCTCATCGTGCAGAATGGCAATTTTAATAGATTGCCACTCATTCGTTGCCACATGCTTAAAAGTCCATCATCCATTAGCTATACCTGCTTATCCTTGAGTGTCCGGGGCTGACAGCAGGCGAGTGGCGGGAACCTTCTCGCTAAAAGGCGACAGCGCTAACCACTGCTGAAGTGTTTTTGTTAAAACAGGGGGCTTTTTATTGAGCGCTGCGGTTCACAGCTACAGCGGCGTTAACGAGGGAAGAGCTCGTCAGCTCTAATTGAATGACTCCTGATTAAACTGGTTTCACATTGGCAGCCAACATATCACATCTTGTCTGACTTCTAATTGGGTGCTTCCTTGATGCTCCACGTGCTCCCGGAGATACAGATGTCTGAACTGTTGGTCAGTAAAGACAGTGGAGCAGAGAGCTACTGGCATGTTTGAAGTGATAGAATATACTGGCTCGCTGCAGAGGACTAAAAGACACAATACCCTGCTTATAAAGGTGATGACATCTTAGATTTCTTACATGTTCACGCTGTCAGGTGTCAAAACAAATGTCGCATAAGACAGAGAAAGAACATGAAGTTGATGTAAAGTGTCTGTACACAGGTGTTTTCAATAGTTAAGGTGGATTAAAGCAGTGGTTCCCAACCTTTTTTATTATGATATCCCCCTATGTTCTATCATTAAGTAAACTGACCACCCCTGACTAAGTGACATATTTTATGGATATTATAAAATGTATTATATCCAATGCATAACAATAACAAAATAACTGTTAAACTGTACAATTAACTGTAATAAATGTGCGATTTGGATGAATTTTGAACAAATTACCTGTTAAAATTGCAACAAGGATGAGTTTGATATTTTTATCAACTTTTCATACAATTACCTGTCTGTATTATGTATTTCTTTCTTTTATATAAGTGTTTCCTTCTCGTTGTTCTTTTTGCTCTTTTTTTAACTCTTCTGATGCAGTATGAGGCTGTTTTCAGAGAGAAGGCAGGTCTTCAAAGTTAAGATCTTAAATAATAATCGAAACTTTAAAAATAACAATTTAATTTAGTTTTCTTCACAGAAATTCTGAGATACAGGCCCACTTTCTATTTCTTAAAATCAAGAAGGCGTCACAACCCCTAGTGCAGGTGTCCACCCTGTGTGTGTAAAGCCCTTATTATCTTTATAATATCAATCAGTCACTTGAAAACAATGTGACAGTGTGAAAAGGGTCACTGGTAGACAATTATCACCCGAATCTGCAGATCCCATCAGCCAACAGAGCGTTATAGTTTCAGCTCCTTGTTTCGCTGCCCAGCCAGTAACCTTACTAATTCACTCTCACCGCTCTTACGGTGCTGACAAAAACCCACCGTACACTATTACAATTCATTTCAGGAAATTCAAAGTATGCTGGGAATTATGTCCATCGTGCCATGATGATGATGATGATTACATTGACAGTGTTGTGGGAGTGCAACGCTAAATTGGTGATCTTCTTAAGCATTACATGTGAAGATTATAGAATTTACTGTGTATTTTTCTATAAATAATAAACATAACAGGGTTTTTTTTTTCTCACTGGCATTTTTGTAGCAATAGCCCTTCAACGTTTTGCATTTTATGGACTTGTCTTCCAGCTTCCACTGGCGTTGGCAGGGCCATCACCCCACTCTGCTGGAGCACATTCAATTAACAGATAGTGTTAAATACAGCTGCTGCTGCTGCTGTGGACCTTCCTCGCTGTAGACATGTTGACTTGTCAATCACAGGTGAACTAATAACATAAATTGCGACTGCATGCAGTGCGCTAGTGTCAGGGTCCTGCTATTACGTAAGCTGGCTCGCTGACATAATTATACAGCACAGGTCTACTGCCTGTATCTATTACCTGCAACACAATTAGACATGCCAATAGCCCGTCATATCTGCTCAGTGCAGCACTTAGTGACTTGATATTAATTACAGTGCACTATTATCTCTAAAGCTAACATGTTAGCTTATTAATACAGCTTTTAAAGGAGAAAAAATAGCAAACTAAAATCCTGTTAAAAGGAAATGTGTGTTTTTAACAACAAAATCTTATGAAACTTACATTTTGTGTTGATTCTTGGGCCCCCTGTGGACAAAAGCATTAGTGTTTCCACTGCTTCATTTAATTGATTTCAAAGGGGAATCCGACTGAATCCTCCCCATTGGCAGGCGTTAAGATTCATTTTATAGAAATGGCCAATCATCCTGCTGATGGTCCTGTGTGTTATGTGGCTCATAAAGAGGCATCAGCATTAAACTGAGACTTTTTCATAACCAACTAAAAACTCCTTGTACTAGGTTTATATTCCCACATTTCCCACAGCCCACTTACATTGGACCCAAATACAGCAATGAATTGTGGTCTCTCACTCTCCTCCCTTGTCAGCACTATATGAAGTAGACAAATAGTTAAATGAGGAAATTCAGCCAGTAAACACTAGGCCTGAACACTTTGCCAAAAACAAATGAACAAAATAAAGCGATGAAGCTCGTCTGGTCCAACATGGGGTCAGCTATGGTCATACAGTTGGCTGACGTATGGCTATGTCATGGGCCATAAGAGGCTACTGGATCTGGACTACCTCTGGACCGTAATTCATTGCTGTATTAGGGCTGAGTGTGCGGGCCAGAGTAATTTTGTTATGTGGGCTAATCTGTCAGAAACCTCGACATACTCTGGACCAACACACTAATCACTGTTTGTCAATTTAAAGGTTCAGTGTGTAACATTTGGGAGGATCTATGGGCAGTAATTGAATATAATATTCATAGGTATGTTTTCATTTGTGTAAAATCACCTGAAAGTAAGAATTGTTGTGTTTTTGTTATCTTAGAATGAACCTTTTTTTAATCTACAGATGCTGCAGGTCCCATGGCCCCTAATGTTCTCAGTCCATTATTGTGAGAGAAAAAAATCATTTCATATGAAGCTACGAGCTTTGGCACACTATAACTTTCCTACAATGTCTCTACAATGTAAAACTGGCCAGATAAAATACTGTAAGCAGCTTAGTAGCCGCTAAAGAAGAGACAGCCAAATCTACAAAATTAATTTGGCTGTTGAAGAGCATTTCTGGTGAAAAACAGCTCCTCTGAGAAAATACTCTAAAACCACTTCCTGAAGTCCTTGTGAGACAGAGAACACTGCAGTTTGTTTGTTTACTATTGCAGGATTCATTCACACACACAATAAACACACACACACACACACACACACACACACACACACACCCTTGAGACGAACTCTAGTCATGATGCAGCTGAGCTAAGCATTTTCTTACACACATACTCTCCCTCTCTCTAATGTAATTGTGTATGTCACCAACGTTAACAGAAAGGCAGCGTGACCTGCCAGAATATGAGCCGGTAGGTAATGCGATTACTAGTGTATGAAACATAATGACAGACGATGAGAGCGAGATAAAGGCAGAGTGGATTGGAGAGAAGGAGCAGGTAAGATAGAGGTATGGAAAGAAGGGCAGCCGCAGAGCAAAGAAAACAACAGGTAAACAGTAATGTAATTGCCATTAGATCAATTTGATCGTGGTCGGAGATCACTGCTTGTGATGATAAATATTGATCTCATGAAACCACTGAGGCAGAATGGGCTGCCGGAGTAAAGGAGAGCGGTTCCAGCTGCACTGACTCAGACCTCCACTGGAAAACATCACCCTGAAGATCTGATAAACCTGCTGTACACAGACGTTAGCAGCTAGCTGGGGAACACAGGAGCATTCAGCAGCTGGAGGGTCGGATATTTCCCTCAGAAGTTGGTGGAGACCAAAAACAGAGCTTAAAAAAATCATTATTCATCAGGAGACTAGAAACTCTATCTGCTGGATGCCTTAACAGACCACTGTTTTCTATGCTGACAAGTTCATTATATCAACTTAAAAGGTGGCCCATGGAGTTATTTTTACATTCAGTGTGTGAAATTCATTGTGTGTATCCTTTAGGTCTTACAAACCTGTCGAATAAATTCCCTTCCTCATAAAACGTTCAACGTTACGTGTAAAGCTGATTTATTTAGTAGATATTTTAAACTTTGCATCATTTACATTGACATTTACTTCCCTGCCTTTGTTGTCATTGCTCAACCTTAAACATCTACAGTATAGAAATGCAACATTCACATTAATGCAGCAGTAATATTAATGCAAAAACATTATATATAATAAAATAAAACACTGACAGGGACAATTTTTCTGCAGAATGAGTGATGATGATACTTTTGTTATTTTAAGTAGCTTTTGCTGCTAATACTTAGAGACTTTTGCTTTAGTGAGGATTTGAATACAGGATTTTGATTAGTAGTATTTTGGTATTAGTATTTTTCTAAGTAAGTAAAGGATTTGAATACTTCTTCCACCACTGAATATTAGCAGATATTACAAACAAATCATAAAAAATATTGTGTCAAGAACCCAACGGGGTACCTTTAATAAGCTTTAGTAAATGAAGGTTCAAGTTTTGCCATAAAAATTATCTTCATGTTTTGCAAATATGTATTTACCATACAGCAATTGAACATACAGATACAGTTACAAATAGGTCATAAAGAGTGAAGCAAATATGAACGGTAATGTGTTCAAAGGACGAGAAGGAAAGGTAAATGGAGTGAAAAGAGGAGAAGAAATGATTGGAAGATGTGAAAATGGCAGGGGAGAGATGTCAAGTGCTTCCCTGGTCTTTGGGAAATTTTTTGACTTTCATTTGTAGCACACAGACTTTCACTTCCAGCTGAGTTCAACACATGGTTCTGCATGATTGCCCAGAAATTGAAAATGGTAAAAAACTCAAAAGCCATGAGACTGAATTCATACTAGAGTTCAAAATGCAATTACAAGGCGTTTAACTGTTTGTGTTGCCCGGACGGATTGACTCTGTGGAATCATGCACAAATTAGGAAATGTTCAGTACGGTCCAAATTCTTCCAGCGCCAGAGAGAAAGGCATATGCATTCTCTGCTCCAGAAGAGAGAAACGACAGAGGAGGGAAGGAGAGAAAACACAGAATAGACTGGGAGGTCCCTGAGGAGCTCCCTCACTACTCTGCAGCTTTACACGTCTGCTGTGTGTGAGCACAAAATGAGTTACAACAGAGCGGTGGGGTGCATGTGTGTGGACAGTGTTTCTGCAGGACACACAGGAGTAACAGACAAACACACTGCGAGAGGTTGTGATCATAAGTTACTAAAAAGCACAAAGTCAACTTCTGCTGCAAAAATACTTTATTTTTTTCTACACACCAATCGAAACAGACATAAATATATTAACAGTGTGCCCTTGCCAAGCTTGAGATGTGAATTATTTCTGCAGCATTTATTTTTTATTTTCCCTTCAGAAAGCTGGAGCTCAGGCTTTTTGAGGGCTGCTCTGACGCAACCGAACTCAAGGATAAACTCATCTTTCCATTGTCAGCATCTGTATGGACAGTTTATATTGCTGTTATATCCATTTTTCCATATTATTTTATAGGACACACTGAAAACACTAAGCAACAGTCACAAATCCAATGAGGTCAACAGGGGAAGGAATAAGAAAAAAAACAAGCCAATTCACTCCAATCTTGAGAATTCGCCAACATCCTGACATATGATGGAACCACACTGAATACATGATTCATCTGCAACCCATTAACATGAGGAGATTTGGTCTGTCAACTTTTATTGTAGGCTACACTGGCTTCGATTCATTGTTGGACCTGAAATTCAAGCTGTAATTGCTTTCTTCTAAATTGCCACAGCACAAAATGTTCATGCACTGGAACAGCAGTAAAACGTAGCAACACAGTTTCATTTGCATTGAATTATTATGGGTGGCTTTTACTCACTTCATTTTGGGTCCACAAATTGATCTGAACTGACTGTTTACAAGGAGGGAGGCAAATAGCTGCAAGTGACATCAAGTGCAAATAGAAATGTCATATTGTTTAACACTACAGTACAAAACTGTGGAAGTCCCTTTTAGCTGTTGCACTTCAAAGTGAAGAGACTCCACCTGAAGCAGACTGGATGATCAATAGTACACTCAGAAAGAGAGGCCGGTGGCGCTATTAATCAAAATGGCTAATTCTTCAGGTTCCCTCAATATTCCTTCAGATGAAAAGACTCAAAAATATGATGTAATCATTTTCATGGTGGAGGTGGTGCTGTCGTAGCCAATCAGTTACATCATTACAATCTATACTGGGAAATATACTTTCATTTGATTTATTCATTTTTTTCAGCCAGCGTCAATTAGCTTAGCTTAGCATAAAGACTTAAATCAGGGAGAAACAGCTAGCCTGGCTCTTAAATAAATGTTTAAACTGAAGGCCAAACAGAACTCCATAACTTTAGTAAGTAACACGTTTTATCTGGAGTGTTTGAACACCAACAGAGATATAAAAAAAAAAAGAGTTAAGGGCTGGAACTTTCTGCCCGGGTGCAGTGAGTTCCTGGAAACTTAGCAAGTCATTTTCACATTTGTTAGCGCACACATTAAAACTAATATATAATAATGTGTTGATAAATTAGCTTTAAAGAGTTAGGATCCTCCGCTTTCAGTCGTTTATGCTATGCTAAGGTAATTGCCGACAGGAAGCTAGCAAGGCTTGCTTTATATTTATTGTTCAGACAAGAGAGAGTTGTATTAATCTTCTCATCTAATTCCCCTAAATGAAACTGAATAAGCCTATTTCCCAGAATGTGGAGCTCCTCTTTGAAGTGCTGTAGATAAACAGAAACCTATCGACTGGCTGCTAAAACTGGAGTGATGTAAAATTAGAATGACACAAATCAATGGCAGGTGTGAAGAGGCCAAACTGTGAAAAACACTGGAAAGATGTGTTAAGCAGCAGGAAGATGAGCCAATTACAAGTTTCTGTGCACATTTGGATGTTTCTTTTTGTCAAAAACCAACTAAAACTGACCAGAAAGTCCTTTAAAGGGTGAACTATCTTAAAAGAAACAGCGCAAGTGCTTTCTTATTCACTTTTCTTATGAGTTGAAACCAGAGCTGCCTGCCAATGAGCTCTTAACGAGGAACATTAGCCTGAAGAACTGAGCCTGAAAGATTAATATTGATATCGCCTAATACTGAATCAACTGTGCATTATATGAAAAGAAATATTCGAGGCATTCTCCCTTTCTTGATGAAGTTTCTCATCCATCCATCTTCCCTTTGTACTCGTCTCTGTCCGTCCATCTGTTGTGTTTTATTTTCATCATCACGCCTTTGTTCTCCTCGTTTTCATCCCCGCTGTGAGGTAGAGGAGCTGCAGCCTCATTCTCATCTGCAGACTCACAGTCTGGACAAAAAAACGCAAGTCAGAAGAGAAATAAACAAGCAAGTAAATGAATAAATATGTGAGTGGAAAATATCAAAAATGAACTTACATGAGGCAGACTGGCCATTTTTGTCATCATCACACTGTGGTCAGAGTCACTATAGACGTTCTCATCCTGCCCAGGGTCGCCTGCTAACATGTACAACTCTCCAGCGTGGACATCGGACACATTCACCTAGATAGAGAGACAGATTGATGATAGACATATATAATCTGTTACTGTCATGGAAAATGTCTCCAACATATTGTGTCAGACAAGACGGATGGAACACACACACACACACACACACACACACACACACACACACACACACACACACACACACACACACACACACACACACACACACACACACACACACACACACACACACACACACACACACACACACACACACACACACACACACACACACACACACAGATAAGAGATGACTTCCATGCTGTGCAGGTATTTGATACACCAACCTGAAATGTTTGAGGGTTGAATCCCAGCCAGAGAGTGTATCTATAGTCCCAGGAGCGCAGAGAGTAGCCCATGACCTTTATATCTTTAAGGTCAGGGAGGTCAGAGTTCACCTGAAAAGAAGAACTTAAACCATTAAAGCAAAAACCGTCAGATCGACAGCTGCCAACTCATCCTGCGAGATGAGTCAACGAGCTAATGTCAGGCTGCCAAACTGTTCCATACAAAGATTAACCTGCAGCAGGTGCAGCACTCATCTGGATATGTTAATTCAAAAGATCTTGTGCTTGTGGCTGGCAGCTCTGGCTATGAGCAAGCACAGTAATGCAGAGGGGTCAAAGAGCCACAGCGCAACCACGGTCGACGAACACGACCTTCACTAATTTTGACATTTTAGATCCAGCTTCAAAATCCATTAAATTTAACCACGTAATGTAGCTTGCAGACTGATACAAAGTGATTTAGTATTTTAGAAAGCTTATTAATTGGGCTTCTCTTAACAACTCCCGTCTCTGGTACCTGTGGCGTATCCGCAGGTCGAGGGTACTGGCTGAAAGATATGGCTTCCGCGTCCTTTCCTCGTTCTCTGTGTCGGAAGGTGTGGGCCAAGTTGTCTCCTTCTGTACACAACTTCTCCTGAAAGCACGAAAACAGACCCGAAGAGTAAAGGAAATAAATGTCAGAGTCAATTAGATCACATTCGTGTCAGGCATGTTTGGGCCTGTTTATGGAGTGTTTCCTTCTTGATTCACTTTGTTTGGCAATGTCAGAACAATAACACTTGCACTAACTGTACAAAGATGCCTTAAAAGGTCTACTGTGTAACATTTAGGAGGATCTATTGGCAGAAATTGAATATAATACTCATGGGTATGTTTTTATTAGCATATAATCACCAATTCTTGTGTTTCCGTTCCTTAGAATGAGGTTACTATCTACAGACACGGCGGGTCCCATGAGACTGTGGTACAGGTCCCAATGGCCCTTAATGTTCCAACTGTATTCGCATTTAATCACGAGGGTGAGGCGAGGGTGTTACAATCCGCAACTACACCAGTAGATGCCACTAAAATCTACACAGTGGACCTTTAAAAGTTCTCAAACTCTATCAACGACAGAAGAAGCTCAGTGTGAAAGATACTGAATTACATTTTGAATCCTTTTTTCTTAACTTTTCTAAACCGAGAGTCCGTACACACATTGTTGACTCAAGTAGAAGTACAGATAGACTCCAGCAAAAGTATTCTAAGTTCTTTACTTTCTTCTTTCTTTACTCAAGTAAGATTTTTTAATGGTATTTTTTATATATTTCAGACCAAACAAACAAACCAGCATTACCTTCCCTAGAGCCTTACTGCCAGCGTAAGTACAAAATGCAACAGTAAACTTTACCACCATGGTTCAGGCAAAAATCAAGTCTTCTAGCTTGAATGGCATTGCTTAAGTGAAAAAATACTACATTCAAAAAATTTATTATAATTTCATCCATTCATTCATACCTGGAAAGAAATATCAGGACAGGGTTCAGGTGCTCTGAGGCCAGCCATGTACGAGACGGTAGGAAAAACATCCACCAGCTCCACCACATTTCTTCTTACTTTGTCATCTGGAAGAGAGAGGGGTCAGCCAATTAGAGAAAGTCTCACATTTCGCTGACAGCAAAATTGTTGAAATATCCTCTAAAATTTACAAGTTGCCCTTCTCTTAAATTTCATCACCATTGCACCATTTGCACTTGGAAGTAAAAACTGTCCGAGGCGAAATATCAAAGTGTATCCGTGTCTTAATACTTTTGGGAGATCTCCATGTATATCAAAAGACTTCATTAAAGTCAAGATGGCATAATAATAAATGCTTCAACAAGGTTCATATAAGCAATATGTACCAAAGATTTTAAAATCAAACTGAAGTTCCCTTTTGTGACTTGACGCACACAGTGCCATAAACCATAAAAGCAGGTTTCGTGTTAATCGGCAGTAATCAGTCGTCAGTGAAGGGGTCTCACTCTTAAAGCTGAGCTCTGATTGTGTGAGGACATCAACAAAGGGAAAGGTAGACTCTCCCAGCCAGTCGTCGATTGTGGTGACGCCAGGAACGTAGAAGATTAGAGGGACGCGTGTTGTCACATCAAAATTAGAGTATTTAGCCCATTCGCCGTGTTCTCCTAACGACCAACCTGCAACGAGGAGGAGAGAATGAATGATGGTAGTTCAAAAAGATTTGAGGCAGACAGGAGAAATAAAGAGAACTGAAACTATGAATCTGTATCATACAAATAACATTTCAGATACAGGAAGGTTTCAGGCAATCCCTTTCATTGATGTTTTTCCCAGTCATATCATATTTGAAAATGATGGCCTTTGATTGAGCTTTAGTGGGTATATATCAAACAGTCATGGTAAGGATTCACTCCAGCATCCTCCACTGAAGGAGACATTAAAAGAAATTGAGTTTCCAAGTCACAAAGTTTAAAAAAAAAAAAAAAAAAAAAAAACGAGGCAGTGGAAAAAAGAGATCTGGGTTTTTAAAGTACAGTGAAATTGTGGGAAGAGGTAAAGGCCTAATGTGCTGTTACAACACTGCCACCTGGTGGTGAAAGACCAGCAAAACTGACACTCCACAAAACACTCCACTTCCTAAATAATAATTTAATTTATAAAGCACTTTTCAAGCTTAAGCACAAAGTGCTCCACAGATTAAAAGATAAAAATTCAAATTAGAAACCCATGTGAGTCACCCCTGTAAAAGTACACAAAAAATTAAGAACATGAGCACGTAATCAGGCGGCACTGAGCCCAGATGGAAGTGCAAAATAATAGAAATAAGTTGAAATTAAAATAAAACAGAGGGCAGATATATAACGGTCTCATGCAGAACATACACAATGGCAATAAAATAACAAATTATTGAATTTAAAAACAGATAAAACTGCAAAATATGTGAATATAAAAATAACAGTAATGATACTAAAACAAGCACAATTCAAATACAGTATGTGATGACATAAAACACCATAAAATAATGGAAAGGTAAAACATTAAGTGCCATCTTGTAAAAGATAACCAATTCATTTCATTAAATATTTGTTATTATACGTTTTATTAACTAGAAATCAAACACTAGTATAATCAATTCATCCCAAACACGTTTCCACTAACCATGATCTGAGGTGAACACCACCATAGTGCTGTCAGCCAGCCCCAGCTCACCCAGAGCACTGAGCAAGCGACCAACTTGAGCGTCCATATAAGAGACGGCAGCGTAGTAGTGCTGACGGACACGCAGCTGGAAGTTACAGAACAATGTTAGTGTGTATTTCAGGAGTGGCTACATGGGAACCAAGTTAGAAATGGGTGTTGATGAGTAACCAGAATACCTGGAAGTCTTTAGGAATTGGTCCATATGGGAAGCTGACGTTGAGTTTTTGGACGTCGTCTCTCTTCCTCACGTCCATCCAGGGGTTGTAGGCCACAGGTGGAAGAAGTTTAGGGACATTGGGGTCAGGAGCCAGAGTCATTTGGTCTATGGGATACAGGCTCAGGTACTCCTGTAATACACAAGCAACAGGTTTCAAAGTTATGTTTAATAAAAGTAGGTACACACACTGCATAGGACGTTCTATGAATATGCTAATTGTATTAATTTATAAAGTTTTCCTGGTGGATACAAGATGTCTCCTACTTCACTGCGAAGTCCATTCTCAGTGTCTGTGCACTGGAGGCTTCATGTTTCTACATCACACTCTGGAACAACCTGTCACCCAGAAAGGTCCCCCAGTCACATTTAAAAAGCATCTAAAACCCATGTTTTCTTTGGTTTTCTCTTCATTTTACAACTTTTGTTGGTTGCACACTTAATTCTCCTTCTCTTTAATATATTGTCTTCTGTGCCTTTCACTGTATAGTGCTGTATAAATAAAGTTTGCTTATATGCATTTTCCTATCCTGATTTAAGCACAATAAATACAATTATTATCGAAATCACAATATAGCAAAGTGCAATATTCAAATGGCAGAAGCTGCATTTTTTAATTAGGTAATGGTAAAATGTGACAAAACAGCATTATAATGAAATACTGTGGTGCTGCAGAGATGCCCTGGCACCTAAGAAAACATGTTTGTTTGGCACAGACTTCAAACATTTCACATCATTGTGATTTTAAAGGTTTAATTCATGATTCCCACACTAAATGAGAATGATAAAATCTGTCAAAATAATCGCTATATGATGTTTTTACCACATCGTTCAGCCCTAATTCAAAGCCATTACATTAAAATCCCAACAGTATTTGTGTTTCAACGCAAGAAATCACAGCATTTAAAAGTATAATTATTTAGGTATTACTTTAAAACTAAAGATAAAGGTTTGGAGGAAACGTTGGTGAAGGAGGAGGAATTCTGTTATTTTCTGGTATTTACAGATGATGGTATATGAATTATAAAATAGTACTACCCTGATAATACCCCATTTGTATTGTAAAATCGCCAACATTAGCTCATTATTGTTAATAGCCTACTATAACCCTTTCTCATCAAAATACAAAGCCATCCTACTCCATAGGAATGCAACGATGTACTGTGAGAGAGTTAAATCGCGATACAAATCTGGAGACTCAAATCAGTGAGACGAAAAATGAATTGTTACTATTTTTAAACAGCAGAGGGCACTAGATCCTTTTGACTTTCGACGTCCCACTCGCATCTGTAGCCGGACATTTTTTTTGTTTAAAGAGGGGAAAACCCTTTCATGACCCCAGGGTCATGAATTCTAGTGTGACTTTAGTGTTTCATTACATCCATATTACTCCAGTATTACGAAGATATTTTTATTATTAATACTAAGATATTAACTGGTGCCCTTTAATTACCAATATGCAATATAAACCAGCACTAACTCGGGGCTCATTTTTGAGCTTAATCACAATTTACAGTATACAGGATTCCCATCTTAGGACCAATAAGATGCAGGAAGTTAAAGACTTTTCAAACAACCTAAACTCCTCTGACACTCGAGTATTGCAGATTTTCTCAGACGTCTTTAGCTTCATTGACTTTCATCATTCCAGAAACTGCATTTTTTTTCTTGAGTTTTTAATCTGGCTGAGTCCTCTGTGCGCCTCAAGACGATATGGGGTAAATCATGTGTGGCGTACACATCACATGCCGACGGAGAGAGTTGGCTTGACCTTTTCCCTCTTTTCATCTCCCAACTTACACTTTGTGGGAAGCCTCTCTGGCGCGCTGACATTCATCTCTGCTCCGTCTGTCTCCGCTCTCATTCAACTTCCACTTCATCGTGCTCGCTTCCTCCTTCATGCTGAATTGCATCTGCCATATATCTAGATCAGTCCTCATTAAATTCACTTCACATACAGTATGCATCTCTCAAGTCTAGCTTTCAGAGGTTCCTTTTCTTTATTCTATTCCCAGTTTTTACACACAGCCCTACATCAAAACTTACTCCTCAGCGGGGTGTAAGTTTTCCTCATAAGAACGTATTTTTAAAACCTCAGTGTTATCATTATCTACTGGCTCAGGGGGTATTGAATTCTGCAGGAACTTAATATTTCTTCCCTTTATCACCCAGGCTTAACTCAAAGTTCATTATGCCACTTGTTCCTCACTCCTTCTCCTTATGTTCTGCTCCCCGCTCGCTCTCCTCTCCATGTTACCATCATTCATTCTCATTCTCTGGCATTATTTGATCAGTCCTCGCTCCTTAAAAACCATGGCTCTTGTTTTAGTTTACACCGTCAAGCAAAACTGCCTCTTGCAGCAGGACACTGACTTCCGCTTCTCCACTCCACATACTCAGCTATACTCATGCCAGTGAGTGACTCGCCTGTTTAGGACTAAGTGAATTGTGTAATGCATCCCAGTCAGTGAATGTCTTCATGAATGAGCATTACAGAAATTCCACCAGAGGAATAGTCAATGAGAGTTATCGTGTTTGCCGCCTTGTGGTGTTCAATCAATTCATTCAATCCATCGGTTTGCAATAAGAGCTGGACTGAGAAGTCAACAGATATTAGCTAAATGCAGGTATCACAGGACACATTTCAGTCAGTGAGTAACAAGAAACTTTAGTATGGGAATGCCAAGAATATTTTAACTTTACAATTATTTAACTGACTAGAAGTTAGACCAGTGAGAGAAAGACTATTCTGTTCATAGGTTTTACTCTTCACTGTTAATCTAGAACAGTAAAGGTAATTATGCATTAATTAATATCTTAACAAATACAGATCTGCATTCTGTGTATTCATCTGGGGGACCTTGACACTAACAAAGGGTGAAGCCACTGGTTTAGTCACTTTCTCAACTGGTGGGTTGCGAACCTCCTGAATGGGTCTCAGAGTGTGTGGTAAAATTAAAAGATTTTTAAAGCGTAGCTATCCGAAGTCTGACTTATTTTGACAGAAAAGCTTCCACAAAGTCTGTTGAGTAAGTCCCATTTTGTAGTCTTTATTTTCTGTGTAAACACAGTTATGATGTTAGTGTTATTATTATTAGAGTCTTGTGCTCTGATTAAGAGATAATAAAGAGGACATTGTATATGTGTGTTTACTAGCCATAAAACTGCTCCATTTGTGTAATGCCACTCTTGGCAGTGTGTGCTGATGTGTGTTGAAGTATGTAAGGAATTCAGGTCAAACAGCAAGCTCCCTGAATGCAGGGCTGAAGATATGTGTATATTTTATGTCAAAAAGAGGTCATGGTGACATTGAATATGTGTTTACGAGCCTATTTGAATAATACATTTGCTTGGTTTGAATTCTATAAAAAAGGGTGTCTCAAGGTGAGACCAACTGATAACCACTGGTTTAGGTCATTCAGAAAAAGGGTGTCAGTTACACAATTTGTCCACCCAACGATGAAAGGTTTATTTTTTAACTCTAAAATGGCTGTCTAGATACACATGAAAATTAGAATGAGCGAAAATAAGTATTTTTTTGTGTTATTCATATTTTTAAAAGAATATCAGCCAATTTCTGTAAGTTAAATACCAATACTCAAACATCCAGTAGCTGTCTGGATATTGTCTGCAACTCATCAGCAAAGATTCACGAGGGCTCTTCACAGCATTACCGAGTCATGTAGCTCACATTAGATGTGCATGAGCACCGATTTTAGTAAACAGCTCATTCACAGTAATCAATGAAAGTTCACCCGTCAGTGTCAGAGACACAATATGGTAATACATTTCTTTTAAGACATCAGCGTAGAATATGAGGCATAAGGCACTTAAAAGACCGTGAACGGATTATCTCTTCAAGTGCAGTGAAGTGGGCTGTTGTAGATAGCAGTTTACAGCATGTGATCATCTGACAGGAACATGATCTGCCATGCATTGCTCTTTTATACTGCACTACAAAGAGCTGTGTAAAGGAACAAATGATACCATTGACCACTGAGGTTAAACACCGTGGCTGATACAGAGACTAGTATTTTCCCAGCTGATTCAAAAACAATATTGGATGCTATAATTACATAAAGGTTTTTACAGTCACTAAACAATTAAAATGAATGTTCACACATCAACAACAACAACTGGGCCATCGGAGGAGGATTAATATCTCAGAATCTGTTTGAATGAGAAAAAGATCTGAAGACTTCCTGCCAAAAGATGAACGTCTGCTTGATTAAGCATGAATGATAAACTCAACAACTGCTTACTTTTTGCCATTTACAACTGTAGCTATAAAGTAAGTTTAGAATGTTTAAAATCACAGTATCTGAACTTTTGCTATTGATATTTTTTGTTTGACATCAATTTACAGAATAATATATCTGTCACTATCACATTTGTACACAAAAAATAAAAATCAACTCTTAAAGAGCAGCACTGCTCAGTACTCTTAAACGTAAAATGGATGCATATTCAAGTCGTGTCCTTGGTTCTAACGTGTGGTTATCTGGTGGCAGTCACTATGACACTTGCTGTTAAAGACAAAACCTCCTGAGCCTCTTAAAACCTGCATTAACTCAGACTGGGCTGAAGTCTAAGACAAGCACCAGCAGCTTATATAAATACTGCTTTTCACAACTGTCTATTTAGTTATTATCTAATCATTATGCACGTTACATCTCAAGCAGTGTTTACAGAGTGTTTACAGGTGTTGATATCAAGTCATGTACCTGTGGTATCCTGAAGGGTATGTGTGGTTTGTGAAAGCCCACAGCCAAGAAGAAAGGGACGTCGTCGTTGGCTCGACTCTTCAGTAACCTCACGGCCTCGTCTGTGCTCTCCATGTCGGGGAGGGTTCCCCCGGGCTGTTCGGTCACGTTCACTGCACACAGTAAGTTGGCATGAAGTTTACCATCCTCTCCTTTACACATCTGGAAACCAAAAAAAAAAAAATAATAAAAAAATAAAAGGTTAAAAAGTCACGTTTATGCACAATACCTGCAGAGAACATTTCAGGCCGGTCTGGTAAACTGTTGCCACGTGGAAGTTCACATTTAGTTCACCCAGCTGTTTCTATTCAAACCTGGAAGATTTGCTGATGGGTCCTATTTTCTTTATTATAAAATGTCTAAACTCTGCAAATATATAATTCATTATTTTCCTTCCGAATATAGAAGTCTTTCTTAATGCGGATCTGTGTTTAAGCTGTAATCTGGATTTATTTACATCTATAGGTCTGCAGTGAACAGGGGTAATTCTGAAATCACTTGTAGCACTCAAATGTAACATGCACCCAAAGTAGCACTGTGGAAAGATTCTGCATCATTATGTTCTCCATAGGAAAAGAATGACTTAAGCATGATGGTAGTGCTTTTATTCATACAAACAAGTAACATAATCTAAAAGCCAAAAAAATATTGTTCTGCATCATTAAATATCTACCAGCTGTGCTAATACAGCTAATTAAGATACCAGTGTTATGTGTTTAAAGAAATAATCTTTTTAGAACATGATTTCTTTCAAAGTTGCATGTGAGACGAGTTAATGTGTTCATAAAGCCCACAACAAAACAAACACTATTAAACTGCTACGTAAGTCAGTGGAGGTGAAGAGGAATTATAAAAACAACACATAAGTGAGTTTATATTGTAAGAGATACTTACAATTCCAACAACATCCACAACAACAACAACAACTGTATACCTTTTCTTTCTCAAATCTAAATGAAGCTGGGTGGTAGGCGGGGATGGACCAGCTGTAGGGGTAGTCATCAGTGTGGTTAGAGGCAATACCTACAGAAAAACACAATGAAACCATTGTTTCCATTACACAATCTGATGCACACAAAAGACATCTTGTAAGAATTTCAAGCAGATTGGATTCTTCTCTAAAATACAGCTCAACAAGAACTAGCAGTAATTCTGTGGTTCTTACTGCAGTTTCAAAAGTAACCATTCAGCAGGAATCTCTGTTTCACTTCCTAAATTTGCCGCTGTGTGAGAACAACCTGCTCGTGATACACCTCCAGTCAAAAATCTGTTTTTCTTTCTGGTCCTACAGTTAAATGTTTGAGCTTCACTGTGGAGAATGACGGATAAGTGGAAAGTTAATGGAAATTAACAATATCTGCATGTACGTAGAGTCTGTATTTTGTTCAATGAGGTAGCAATAGATGCTTTATTTAAGGATTTTTATACAGAAATTATACTTTTTTTTTGCAACAGACCATTAATGGAGGGGATCTTCAGCCTTACCTGGATGAAACACTTTGCCCACAGACATGGTGTAGTACCCTCTGGACTTAAAGTACTGTGGCATGGTCGTGTAGTTCCCAGAATGGACTCTCCAGTAGGAATTGAAGTCGTAGAGCCTGGTGGTGTCTGGTCTGCGACTCGTCAACATGGACGTGCGACTGGGAGCACACACAGCTTGCTGAAAGAGGAAAACACCCCTTCAGACACAAATAGTCTTGTGTTCAAACTGACTGAACAATTTGAGACGATAAACATATGCAACACCCACTCACCTGTGCATACGCATTGAGAAAAACTTGGCTTTTGGATGCCAGCTGGTCAATGTTTGGGGATTTGACCACAGGGTCCCCGTAGCAGCCCAGTGATGTCCGCAAATCATCTGCCATGATGAAAAGGACATTTCTCCTCTCTGAAAAGCAAACACAACCACAGGTGGTTTCATGTTTCTCACTGATTTACAGCTCTTACATTAACCTATTACAGGAATAAGTTCAGGCAGATTGCTGCAAAGGAAAGAAAAATGATCACAGTAAACTAAAAGTAAAAAAAGTCGAACAGAAACCAGATCAGGTTTCACTTCAACAAACACTCAAGCCCAAAAGAAAACCCTGAAAACAAAGCAGTGGGCAAATGCAATGAAATAACGTTACCTTACTACATAAACACAATTAGTACCAATTAACAGCGACTGTTCGTTAGTTACTGAGATTTACTGCCCGACACAAACCCATTAAAATACAACTTCAGCTCAAAAACATGCCAACCAGTTTATTCATTAAAACTAAACGTACAGAACTCCCATGTAATCACATTTCCACCATGTTTTCTGGTTCAATAAAGACAACCTCTACCTGTTCTTGCCCCAACAGCGACTACCAGAGAGTGGAGAACCAGGAGGAGAAGCCATATCCGGACAAACATGTACATTGTGTCTTTCTCCGAGATGATTAACGACAATGTATCCTTCAGTTTAAGTCGAGTTAAACACTTAATATCGCATCTTCTCTTCCCTCCCAGCCGTCACAACAAACGAGCGTGTCGGCGTCGTCTTTTAAAAAAAACTTCCTGATTATCGCGTAGAGCGAATGGAACGTTTTCATTGGTCCACTCGGCCACTCGCCCCGCCCCCCCAAACGTTAATCACATTAGTTAAATGATGTGTCAATCATTTTAAATGCCACTGCAGACTTTAACTACTCCAGTGATTGTTTCTGATTGATGATGGGACTCAGAGAACATGCAGTTATTTTACAATTCAAAGAGAGAGAGAGAGAGAGTTTCACATACATATATTTATATTTATATAATTTCCTACATTCACATTATTAATATTAGACCTGTATTATATACTCATAGCCCTGTATACAGACTATTTTGTCCACTAATCTATAATGCTGTATATATAATGCTTCTCCTGTGCACTACCTTCTGCTGTAACCTGTAGTATTCCATATTAATCCCATCTGTATAAAAAAAGCTGTAAATAGTGTACACACAACTCTTATTCTCTTATTCTATTTTCATTCAATCTTGCATTTTTATATTTTTATTTCATGTGTATTTTCCTATCTTTTGTGTTGACTGAATTTCCCCAGTGTGGGATTAATAAAGTATATCAATCAATCTCGAAGCATTAAATGGACACTGATATTAATTTATAATATATTCAGAATATTGCAGAGGGGGAAAAAGGGAGGAAGGAAACTGCAGCTATATGTATTTATGTGCAATATCTCTGCAGCTTAATTTGTACAAAACTTTAAATCAATGACAGAATTGTAAACAAAATAAATCCCCAGGGAAACTAATATGAAACTCCTTTAGGGAGAAATATGGTTTATGAATATACATGTAATACAAAGATATAGAAATATAATAATACAATAATAACAGGTCACATGCGATCAAAAAAGGCCATTCAGCTGAGTATATTGCAAAAAAAGCACCCACTAGTTCACAGGTCAAACATAAACCAAGAAATAAAATACCCACTATTCAGAGAAAATGCAGGAATGTGAGCTTTTGTTTTATATACATTGTCAGACACCGGCCTCCCAGGTAACTCCTCACAAACAGCATGCAACAATTGGTTAATAAATAACAATCAATACAGACTAACACCTAATACGTGTTTGTTTGTTTTTTTTACAAATTCAGATTAAAAACATTAAAATCTGCCTAAATATTTTTCACAGGTGAGCTGATAATCCATCTTTGAGACGCAATTGTGAAAAACAACAATAAGAATTATTATCATTTTCCTTTTATAGCCCAAAATTGTTTGAAGCTTCAGTAGTTAACTACACAAAAACGGGAGGGGAAAAAGTAATTACTTGAATCACTCTGCAAATATGAATTTAGTTGTCGTGTAGAGTAAACAATAGTAACTAATCTATTAATAATTTGCTGCTCAAATATTTGCACACCATTTTTACTTGCATATTGCATACAGTGTATATACTTTTCATTTATAGTCTGTTGGGTCTTGGTCAGAATGAGTTCTCTTTTTGATCAGAAGATTGTGTCCAACATACGATTTTCTAAGTTCAAATTAGGTCTAAAAGTTATTCTCCTTCAGGTGGAAAAATAACAACCAGGATTCATCAAAGTTGGCAGTAGAATAGAGCTTTATTATCTTAACAGACAAACAAAGCCCGAGCCATCCATGGAAAGACTGAATTCATCCTCACAAAGCTTCTCCTTATATACTTTTGCCCTCTGTCACAAGTCCTGCCCACCTTCTACCTTTTCCATCCACGACATAATGGTGTAAATTCTACTCTGGAAAGACCCTAAATCTTCTCCAGTATGTGGGTCCCAATTATTTTACCCTTGTTTTGCCCACGCTCCATCCTACTGGTGTCTTACTCGCCTAATTATCCTGCACCGTCAGGCCTATGTTCTTATCACAGAACCCGCAGGCTTTTTCTTTTTGTTCTCCTTTCATCATGATTACACCATTAGAATCTAGTTTACTGTTTTTCTATTTTTTAAAAAACATTTATTACCTTTTCCTTACACCATTATGTCACAGATGTCTTTTACTGTATTTTTAAAAAACTTTATAAACTTTATAATATGATAAGAAAACTTGTGTTACAACCACACATTCTATATGTTCCACACATTAAATCAAACTTCTACTAAAAACCATGGTGCTTACTACTTCATCAACAGTATTTGTATTTGTGCTTATTATGAAATCATATCAACTTAAAACATAATGCCTCCATTAACATCCTTGTGAGCTTATATAAATCTATTCTACTTAACACTCAAAATCATCATTACTTAAAACATAGTGCTCTCTACTTGATTACCAGTTATCTGTGTGAACAAACCATAGTGCTTACAACATAATGTCCAAACCTTTGTGTGATTAATTGATTACTAACTTATAATATGCACTAACCTACACTAAATTTTATACTACAAGTCTTATATTATATTTTGTAATATTCTTATTTCATGATATCTTATTGTACTTCCACTTCTGTACTCTTGCACTACATTCCCTTAAACTGCTGTGTCTAATTTGAATTTCTCCTACGGGGATCAATAAAGGTACATCTTATCTTATCTTATCTTATCTTATCTTATAATAACAGAAAAATATATGATCAATTATCTTATCTTATCTTATAATAACAGATAAATATATGATCAATTATCTTATCTTATAATAACAGATAAATATATGATCAATTATCAGAGAGGCCTATCTATATCTTTCTATTGAACCAAAATAAGATTGTTGTTGCAATTATAATGTTTTCCTCTGACGGTTTACTACAAGGCAAACAAGAGGATGGCCCTCTTGAGGCTGCAGCTCCACGTTTGCTGAGTGGATTTTGAGGTTTTGAGTTCTCATCTTAACCACAGCCGATCTGTGACCGTAAAGGCAGCAACAAGAAAACATGGCGGACACAACGACCAAACGGGAGGCCGACAGTGTTGGTGCGGATGAATTGTCTCAGAGAGTCAAGAGGACGAAGTCTGACGGTGAAAACGGCGGCGGGGAGGTCGGAAAGGAGCCCGAATCTCAAAGTATTCTGTGTGACTTTAAAACGACCAACGTCCTGAGTGATTCTGCGCGGGAGAAAAACATCTTCCTCCGCGGGAAGGTAACGGTTGTTGTGGGTAACTAACGGACTTCACTCCGCTGTTAGACGGTGTTTAACTAACTGTGGCTGTGGTGATGGAGTTGGGAGCCATTATCAGTAGAGGGAAAGGTTTTTTTCTGTTGTTATATTCATTCAAAGTGGAGCGAGTAGTTTTCGGGAGGAAGAATGTAATGTTTACTTCCGGTGTGATGTTTCAAAATAAGAGTCGGCGTAATAGTGCTTTGTTGTGTGTGTGATAGAAATGAGTGACACCCTGACAACTAACCCACATGCTTATAAAAGGACTGTTGTGTGTTTATTGTTTATTTTCTGCTAATGATTATCACATGCAGACGATGAGGTCTGTGAGGTTTTAAAAGGTCTAAAATCCAATCATTGAATTTTAGGCCTTAAAATGTGTTAAATGTGGTTTTAACAGGTGTTGGATTAATTTAGTTGACACTGTATAAAGCTGCATATTTCAGTCTCTTTTTAAATATGTTTTTGGTTAAAATAAATAAATATAATGGATTGCTAATGCTGTAACAACTATAAAACAAATCCTTTATATCTTTGGTCCTTTTTTCTGCCAGTATCTACAAGAAATAGGTCTTAAATTGTATTCATAATGGTCTTAATGTAACCTGTTGAAACCTGCTGAAACCCTGATAAAACTCTTGAACGTGTCCCCACCAGCTCGCCGATCAGGAGGCTGTGGTCATCCTGGAGAAGACTCCCATCAGAGAGGACACCCTGGCTGAGCTTTTCAGCGGCTCCACGCTGAGGCTGGAGATGAGGAACGACATCTACAGCACATACCGGTTACAGGCGCCCCCCCATCTCAATGGTACTGTCAAGGAAAAAGCTAAATCCAGCAGCCACTTTGGCCAGCTAAAGAGCAGTGTGTTTCTGTTTCACAGAGATCAAGACCACAGTGGTGTGTCCAGCTACAGAGAAGCATGTAAAGAAATACCAGCGTCAGGAGAGTTTCCTGGTGGAGGAGACGGAGGAGGATTATCAGTCCATCACTCGGCCCTACATTGAGAAGCAGAGTTTCAGCGTGAAGGTCAGCCTTAATTTGCTCGTCTGCATCATAATGTGTACTTGTGAATGTACAACATTATCTGTGGATGAACTTAACATCACTTTCAACCCCCCCTCCCAGTGGGTACACAACATCCTGGAGAAGAAGGCAGAGGCCGACAGGATCGTTTATGAAGATCCAGACCCAAAGGTTGGCTTTGTCCTCCTCCCAGATTTCAAATGGGACCAGAAACAGGTGAGAAACCAGAATATTGACCTCAGCCGAAGCTGAATGTGTTCTTGTTGATCATCAAACATACAAAAACACGACTTTAGACTTTATACATGCTGTTAGGGACTGCTGAAAAGTTGTGCACATGCATGATTAGGATATTAACATATATTATAATCATGTCACTGATGACATTTGTCTTCTGTGCATTAAGAGACAGCTTCTTTCCACCGGCCTCTTTCTGTTTCAGATTAATTAACACTGTTAAAACTCTATGTGGTGGCCAGAATTCCTTCATTTGTTAACAAGGCTTTTATTGTATTTATCAAACTCAGTGTAGAAAGATAGAGCTGGCAGCGAGATAGTTATCAAACATTGCTCATGCAGGCAGTGTGGATGGGAGGTAAAGTTAACTAGTCAGGGTTCCTTCTTAAGCCCATTAATGAGTTACATGTTGTTGTGGTTGATACATGCATACACAATGTTAATTGTACTTGCAACAATCCCTTTCTACTTCTTCCTTTAATAGGCTTAATAGGTAAGAAGAGGAATTTTCTGCCAAATCAAATAAATTCTGCTCTATTTGAACTGTTATTTATAGGCTGTGGTTGAATTAATGTCAGAGGAAAACAGCCAAGCACGGCATGAAAGCGCACTAAGAGTGTCCAATATAAACTTAAGAAGGAGAAATAAAACTGGGGTTGAATGCGTCAATACAAAGCCTACAATGTCCTTGAAAGGTCCTGGAAAATGATTTCTTAAAAAAGACTATCAGATAGAACAGGGTTGGTGTGAGCCATACTTTAAGATCCTGAGGCCACTCGACTTTACAGTTACACAATATCTCTCTTCTTCTTTCAGGTTGACGATTTATACCTGATCGCCATCACACATCTGCGAGACATCAGGAGTCTCCGAGACCTGACGTCAGAGCATCTACCGCTGCTGCAGAACATCTTCCAGAAAGGGAAGGTGAGGTTACAAAATAAGAGCAGAAAATGTGCTCTTCTGTCATTAACATAACTTTGAGTGTTGTAATCGTCGTCTTCAATCAATTCAATAACGATGCCTGTTTCATTGTGACTCAGGAGGCCATCCTGCAGCGCTACGACCTTCCAGCCAGTAAACTGAGAGTCTACCTGCACTACCAGCCGTCCTACTACCACCTCCACGTCCACTTCACCAAGCTGGGCTACGAGGCGCCGGGCTGCGGCGTGGAGCGGGCCCACCTCCTCGCAGACGTCATCCAAAACCTCCAGTCCGACCCCAAATACTACAAAACCCGCACGCTGTACTTCCCCCTGAGGGCAGACGACGGACTGCTTGGCAAGTTCAAGGAGGCAGGGAGGCTGTAAATGATTCCCCCCCGTTGGTAGATTCCTGTCCAAACTGTGTCTGGCTGATTTCAAGGTGTACAGATTAGCTACGGATGTTTTCTCCCAGTGTCATTTTCCCTCAACTCAAGTTTGTAATGTTCCATAAAAATAGTAATTATTTAATTATTGGAGTGTTTTACACTTCAGCTGATTAATAATCAGGTTTTATACGTATTTGGATACATTTTTATAATCGCATTTCATATTATTCCTGCTTTCATTTCAAGAATAGGAGAGAATATAACCAATGGATATTTTAATGTTTTAATGTTTTTCATACGTTTTCTCTGTTTCTGAATGCTGCTTCTTGAATTAAACTTGTTGTTTTTTTTACTCAGCCTGTTAATGTTGTCACTTTTTATGAATGTGAGACAGTTAAGTCTTAAGTAGACACTTTAGTTACTTTACTTTTGTCCTGAAGTGCCAGATTTTAATCACATCTCATGTTTGTGAAGTAAAAGTAAAGGATACGTGACTTAAGGGTCCAGTGTGCAACATTTAGGAGGATCTATTGGCAGAATATAATATTCATAGGTATGTTTTCATTAGTCTATAATCACCTGAGTAAAGGAATCATTGTTTCATTCCCAGATTGTCTAATACAGACGCGAAAGGTGTTCAGTTAGTTTAAATATTTCTATACTTTGTTTAATCAGGAAGTCACATTGAGATCTGAGAACAATACATTACAATAATTTATATATATATTAATACACATTCATAAAAACAGCAGTGTGACAAATTCTAAATAAATAAAATAAAATATCCTTGAAACAGAATAAAAGAAATACAAGCTTATTATATAAAATCAATAAAACCTCAAACCAATATCAGTGTGTAGCTTCACTGTGCACTATCTGTCTCTCCAAGATCATTAATCCCTGCCTTTACAGGCAAATAGATAAAAGTTCTGATCTCATCTGACAGAGAGGGAAGGCCAGTCCACCTTCTGACTCAATGACAGGTGACATATTGGTTGTAAATCATAAATAAAGAGCTGAGTGATACACATCATCCACATGTTTAAGATGAGAGAAGTCTATAAATAATATCACCATAATCCAGTGCAGAGAGAAAGCACCTGTTCCTATTCAAAAATCTACGCTGCAGCCTTAATTTGTGATTTAAATTGGTTTTAAAAGTAAGTTTGTCATCAATCCAGATGCAGATGTATTTATAATGAGGAACTTTCTCATCAGTGTATCATTTAAAGGTTTATATCTTCAGCAATGTGATGCAGTATGTGCCCACTAGATGGCAGCGTTCATCCTAAAAGGGTCCAACTTTGTTTTCTACTGTGCAACTTTCTTTATGCAAAAAACACAACTCCAGTCTTTAGAGTATACTGGGGGGGGTTCTGCTGTGTGTCCCCCCCTTACAGGAAGAGAGCAAACAGTATGTTAGCTGCTATAGTTTTTGCATGTTGTGTAAACACAAGGCTATCATTTCCAACCAAACTATATTTAACCTGAGTCCGCTTACATAGCTTTGGTGCTGAAGTACCATGTTTAGTTGGATTGATAGCCACAACGCCAGAGGTCACAGCTACACACACACACACACACACACACACACACATGCACATACACTCCTCCTGCACAGTCTGACAAACACATGAACTGAGATCGAGCTGCTTTTTTTTAACAGTTTTTATGTTATATATGAACTGTGCAAGTACAGCATTGTTTTTTTTTTTACACTTCCTCAGATGTTCGGACCTGATACAGGATTAAATTGTTTGTTAATATGAAAACGGACATCATTTTCTTATCTCATCTGAAGTCAGTTTGGGCGGTGCTCCGCTTTGTATTGAAGGTGCCTTCAGGTGTTCCTCGGAGTAATGTAAACTAATTAACAGCGCCCAAACCTGTGAGGGAATAAAATGATAATCTAATTTAATAATTATTATATTAAACATTTTAGTGTTAAGAAGCTACAACTTCTTAATGTTCTGATTAATAAAACATAATATAGGGAGCACATAGCCTATATTTAAAATGATTTTAAAAAGTCAATAATTAAACATTTAAACTTTTCGAAGTGTCAGTGGGTTCTTAAAGAGAATTTGAAGGGGATTAATGGATTATAAAATCAATTTATTTTTTACTTTAATAGCCACACAGATGTTGTTTTATGACCAAATGATGTAGTTAGGGTTTGTTTTCAGGTTTTTATCTGACAGTCGAATATGTATTTTATATGTATTTTCTTTTGCCCATGGTATCTATTTATTTATGTTCTTTATGTGTATGTTTATGTATTTGAATAAGTATAATTTACAAAAAAAAATCCCAAACTTTATTTTAGTGAATCATGGCAAATGCAAAACAATTTAACGATTAACATTTAATTAATTCAGAGCCACAAGAGAAGCAGCACCTCACTCATACAACTTTCTTGTTAAGACATTATTTTGGACTATCAGATGCCAAAAAAGACGAAACACAATACTCACTCTGTCCAACAGAAAGTTAGTTTAGGGATAATATTTATATTTATAATTTTATGCTTTCATGAACCCATGCTGAGTAATAAGCCTAAAGCTAAACAGTGACTAAAAATAAGGATTTTTGTGCAGGCTACAGATGCTTTAATGATCTGTAAGTTTTCCTTCATTTTTCTTAGTGCCTCCTACATTCCGAGCTGCCCCTGAACGCAGCGCCGTAGAGCAGAGGACGCCAGGGCACGACTGAGACAAATAATCCAATCATTAGTCCACTAACAGCGCTGATGTCTTGGTTTCAGTCTCTGAGGGATGACTTCACTCTGAGGCCGTTTGAGATACAGCAGACACAGTAAGTGTTTATCAGCTGGACTTCAGCTGGCTCACACAACAACTTCAGCTGGAGTTGGTAGTTTACTGGACTGCGGGGGATTATGATGTTTGATCGATCTGTTGGTCCATACGGTGTCCTGCAGTGCTTTGCTTTTTTGTTTGTGCATCGGCTGAAGTTGTTGAGTGTATGGGATCAGGGTTTTACTGGCAGCACTGAGGCTGATGTAGGTGGGCTGTGATTACTCTGAGGAGTTCTTGGAAGTGTAATTCTGAGTTTTTAAAGGTTTTATTTAGACCATGGCTGTTATATTCCCACTGAGAACTGCAATTTGTGCTATGATATATGATTATATTTATTCACTTCCCATAAATAATCTGTGTTCAATCAGTGTAAAACGTTGGCTGAACTGTAAATTGTGTTGTGGCTAATTAGAACAAACCTTTGCCAGCAAAATAATGAAGTCTACTCACATACAAACAAGAGTTTTTCACTACATTATCCAATGCCAACATAACTGATTTAGGTCAGATTAGAGGTTATTCTCATTTATTCTGTATGAGTTTGGGTCATTACGATGTGTTTCTGGTTGAAATATGTGCAAGTAGGTTTGGGTTGAACTGTCTTAAATTGTCTGATCTGTCAGTGGGACCCTGGTTATAATCCACAGCTGTTCTTAATGTGTTATGTTCTCCCGTAGGAGTTCACTGCTTACACACATTTCCTCACAATTTACGGTAAAAAGCTCGACTGTTTACCAGCTCTCATGCAGATTTACCCTATTTCTTTTCCTGTTAGAATAGATTTAAAGTCATATTCCGCTGTTTTCATGATACTGTAACACTGTGACATCATACAAACACACACTCTCTCTCTCTCTCTCTCAGTGTGACCGTGTGTGTATGAGCTCAGTGTTTGGTGGAGGCAGGTCAAGGACGGTCCAGATTAAACAGTTATCTTTCACTGTGTGGGAACCTCTGTAATCCTGAACACAGACTGATTCAGAATAGGCTCGTGTTGTCTGTCAGCGTGAGAGGATGAATGGCTCTATTGATCTGGGCTCTTGATGATCTGATCCTCATGTGGACACCCTGTAGAGAAATGTCCGACTGTGGTGCGCCTTTAAACGACAATGAAGCAGACAATGATGTTAGACTAGACTTTTGCGGTAAATCGAGTTAGCATTATCACCCTGGACGAGGATACGTGAGTTTAAGGGCATCAGCGCAGGTAATCTGACTGAGGAGCTTGATAAATATGCTTGTGTGTGTGTGTGTGTGTGGCCTGTCAACTGTCAGCTTTCCTGATTAGAGGGCTGATCAGGTCATCTGTCACCGGGTCATTGAACAAACCCTTTTACAGAGACGTCCTGTTTACCTCTCTGTGAGGAAATCCTATCATGATAATTCACTGATACATAATTAGATCATTGGACGTGCGGCTGTCGCTGCGTCCTGCTCGCTGTGTATTTGTTTGTGGTTTATTTCGCGCATTGTGTTGCCGACTGAGTGACAGCCGACTTTGAGACTATGAGTCTTAGACCATTTCCTGCTTTTATTAAAGGGATGCTGCACCAGTTTTACACATGGCAGTCAGAGTAGTTGTCATAGTACTACTCAACCTGGGAGCGAAGTTGTATAATGTCTTGTGTGGCTCTGGAGGATGTTTACCAGGCAGCATCAAAGAAAAGGATGTTGTTGGTTGCATTATGGGAAATGTAGGAGCCTCAGCTGCACAGATTTGTGATATTTTATTAAATAGTATTGGAAGTTTCTCCTATACTGCCTTTAAAGGTACACACACGTATCAAATCAGTACTCAGTATTAGCCGATAAGCAAAATTCAGGTATTGGGAAGGAAAACTGCCATAACATCTTTAAATAATCTGTCCCTTGTGAGTCTCCCAACTATGGAAGTGCAACACAAAATCATTGTAGTGCCCCTTTAATAACAAGCTGACATTAATTAGGACAGCTTGTAGATGTAGTTAGTCACAGCCCAGAAACCTAAGTGAAGAGAAAAAGTACATTTCTCCCTCTAAAGGTACGGTCACATTAGTCCTCTGTTTAACTACATTCATCACATGTCCGATATAGAGAATAAATGGATATTGATCCGAGCGATCAGTGTAAACATGATGGTGAAACGTGCTGGAATAATTAACCTCTTAGTGCATCAGTGTTTCTATGGCCGCTCTGTCGGAGTTGACCTCTGACCTGCGAGCCTGCCGCCCGACTTTGTCCATTACCTCCTATTACAGCGAAATTACAGACTATAAATACTCATAAGACCTAAGTGTAATGCGACTGTACCTTTAGTGTGTGTTGAGGATAAAGATGATGGAGGAGTTTTTAGACAGTGAGTGAAGATTCTTGTAGATAGTTTGTTTGATTTCCTGTGTGTGGGGAAGAAAATTGCAGCCCCAGATGATGATTTAGGCTGATAAGGTATTGTTACTTTATTTTACATAAATGGAGTGTGTTTGCGAGCATCTTTGTAGTCTTCTTATTTGCTTCATCTGTGGTCAGAATAGGCAGCAGTAGCCTGTTTCTTAACAGAGATA